CAGGGGACTGCCCAAGCAACAGAAGGCTGGCATTCAATAAGTTTTGAAGTGCAGTGTGGCCTTGTCCTTCCCTCCTCCCCCACCCCTCCCGGGCTAACTAGGCAGTTATCCCCCCATTTTTTGTGATGAATTAATAAAGAATGCATGCATTTGAAACAACAATGACTTTATTGCCTCTGCAAGTGGTGATTGAGAGAGGTCGGTTGGCTTACAGTGAAGTAGAGTAAACCAAGGGGGCGGGTTTTCATCAAGGAGAAACTAACGGAACTGTCACACCGTAGCCTGGCCAGTCATGAAACTGGTTTTCAAAGCTTCTCTGATGCGCAGCATGCCCTGCTGTGCTCTTCTAACCGCCCTGGTGTCTCATTGCCTGTAATCAGTGGACAGGTGATTTGCCTCAACCTCTCACCACACCATAAATGTCTCCCCCTTACTCTCACAGATATTGTGGAGCACATAGCAAGCAGTAATAACAATAGGAATATTGGGTTTGCTGAGGTCTAACCAAATCAGTAAACTGCACCAGCACACTTTTAAACATCCATGTGCACATTCTACCATCATTCTGCACTTGCTCAGCCTTTAGTTGAACAGCTCCTTACTACTGTCCAGGGTGCCTGTGTATGGCTTCATGAGCCATGGCATTAAGGGGTAGGCTGGGTCCCCAAGGATAACTATAGGCATTTCAACATCCCCAATGGTTATTTTCCGGTCTGGAAAGTAAGTCACTTCCTGCAGGTGTTCAAAAAGACGAGAGTTCCTGAAGATGCGAGCATCACGTACCTTTCCCGGCCATCTCATATTGATGTTGTGAAACGTCCCTTGTGATCCACCAGTTCTTGCAGCACCATTGAAAAGTACCTCTTTCAGTTTATGAACTGGCTGCCAAGGTGGTCCGGTCCCAAGATAGGGATATGCGTTCCGTCTATCGCCCCACCACAGTTAGGGATTCCCATTGCAGCAAAGCCATCCACTATGACCTGCACATTTCCCAGAGTCACTACCCTTGATAGCAGCAGCTCAATGATTGTGTTGGCTACTTGGATCACAGCAGCCCCCACAGTAGATTTGCCACGAGAATAGATATTTATAGAGAACGACGAGAGGACCTGCGAGGTGGATTCATGAGAGCAGAGTTGCAGCAGGAGCCCATGACAGCCAACATGGAGAAATTCGCTCTTGAGACAAGAGTAGGAGAGCAGAGTTGCAGCGGAAGCGGTGGTTCGATGACAACTGTTAGCAGTCCTACTGCACTGTCTGCTGAAAGCAGTATGGTGTCCACACGGAAAAAAGGCACAAAACTATTGTCTGCCGTTCCTTTCACGGAGGAAGGGGCGACTGATGACATGTACCCAAAATCACCCGTGACAATGTTTTTGCCCCATCAGGCATTGGGAGCTTAACCCAGAATTCCAGTGGGCGGCGGAGACTGCAGGAACTGTGGGTTAGCTACCCACAGTGCAACGCTCTGAAAGTCAACGCTAGCCACGGTACTGTGGACACACTCCACCGACTTAATGTGCTTAGTGGGGATATACACAATCGACTGTATAAAATCGCTTCCTAAAAATCGACTTCTAAATTCAACCTAATTTTGTAGTGTAGACATACCCTGAGTGTCATGTGGGGGCAGCTGGGCCAAGCCTTTCGAACACTGAATAACTATGAATCTTACTTTGAAATGAAATGCAAAACCCTCTTATTTGGGTTGGGTTTCTCACATAAATAAATCAATCTTATGTGTGTGAGTGGGAGACAGATATTATACTTGTAAAACAAAAGTATAAATTTGCAAGGCACTCACATAGAGTGAGGTGCATAGTATAAAGATATAAATAGTAGCTAAATTACACATGCTGCTGATGGTTGACTTCCCCCAGTTCCCAGGATTGGTTACGCTCACAGGCAGGAAATCGATGAGATAGGCATAAAAGGAATAGGAGTGAGACAGTGGAGATGCCAGTCAGGACTGGCTATAGCCTTAGAAACTGAAAGTCTTCCTGAAAATTGCAGGGGTAGGGTGTATCCCCGGGGAAATTATACAGACTGCATTGAAAGATAAATTAGTACATTTGGGCAACTCTATCCCGATAACTTCAAACTAGCTGAGCTTGTATGAGGGAAAATCTCTGTCCTCTTGAGGCCTACTTTCCAGAGGTGCTGAGCACCTGTAGCTCCCAGAGCCTTTGGTGGGAGTTGGAGGTGCTCTTCACCTCTGAAAATCAGACCACTACTAAGCAGATAAAGATGTCTCAGTGGTAAATATGTGCTGGGATTTTCAAAAGCTTTTGTTAAGATTCCCCAAGATATCCCCTCCTCCTCATTCAGTCATCTTTAAAACTCACCCAAATCCTTGCGAGACCTTTGGATGATGAATCCCAAGAATGGCTCTAGTTATGATTTATTTGTACACTAGTATCATGCAGAGATCCTGCTCAGAATCAGGGCCTCATAGTGGTAGGTGCTATACATATGCCTAAAAGACCGTCCCAGTGCTTACAATCTATTTAGACAAGAGACACAAGCAAAGACAGAGATAGCACACAAGCAAACTGTGAAAAGCGCATGTTTTATTAAGTTACATTTTTAAAATATATGCTTAACCCCCCCCCTCCATTGTCCAGGTGCCTCCACCATTTCTGCTCTGTTTCCACAGGGACAGATGCAAGCCAAAAAGTACCCAGCTGGTGTCGCTGTAACTGAAATTTGTAAAGATCTTTCCTGGCCCCACTTTCCTGAATACAGTAAGAATAATAAATTTTAAAAGAACCATCTGCATGGAACTTGTATACATGGGTTTGTATATATCCAGAGCTATACCTAGGCATTTTAGTGCTGAGGGCGAGCAAGCATATTTATGCCCCCTACCTTTTTTTCCATCATTTTTCGCCCCCATGGCTTTGAACCCTGGGCAGATGCCCTGCTCGCTCCACCCTGGTTACAGCCCTGCAACTCTGACACTTGCCTCCTTTGTATCTTGGGCAGATCATATGTTTTGGTGCCTCTGTTTTCCCTTATAGAAGAGAGAGATAATGATACTTACAGAGGATTGATGGGAGGTATAATTCACTGGTGAAGTGAAAGGCGTTATAAGAGTGCAAACTAGAGTAGTTCATCTCTCCAGAATGTGTACATGGGGAAAAAAGGGAAGTTCCCCCATGAACCAGACATCATGAGTTAGGAGCCCTTACAGAAAGCAATATAGCAGTGCTCTGCAATCATGATCTCTAAGGCCAGAGTTTATAGTGTAGTCACTACAGCATTTGGGACCTGTGTAGTAGTATCTATTTTATAAATATTTCAAATATGCCTCTCTGGAACTGAATTCTCCCCACCACTAAAATCAGACTTTAGTGGCTTTCAGACTGAGAATCCATCCTGCCTGCTAACACATGTCCAGCTGAACTGGGATCCACCACTGTAGCTGAACTCCAGCAGGGCCCCTCCTACTCTTGTCAGTAATCTGCCTGTCCCACCCTAGCCTATAGGAGCTGTGCTAAACTGCTCTCTTCTGGGAGATGAGGCATTCGCACCACTCATGTCCAGCAGGCATAAAAACCTCTTCTGATTTTGCCTGATGGATCAGTGTTTTGCTTCCAGGAAAGAAAGTGCAAGTTTCATGGTGAAAGCAATTTCCCTGTCTCCTAATTAATAACAACAGACCAAGGCCCACAGGCTGGGGAGGAGAACAGAGCTTAATTGAATTAAAAGGGGGTCCTAATGACTAGGGTCAAATTAGCCAGCATCACCTTTTCATCCTGGGGAATTGAAATGAAAGAGGATTTTTTATAGCAGGCTCTGGCTCCCACCATACACTCAGCCCTTTTAAAAACATCTCAGATAAAGTATGTTCTTCTTTTCCGCATTTAGTTGTCTGAAGTACAGAAAAGGTTGTTTGTGCGAGGCCTGGGAGCTTCAGTGTAGGCTGCAGTGCCATGTAGGCTCATTATTTATGAGCTGATGGAGGCACTGGGCAGCCAGTTGGTGACATCTGCAAGTGGCCTGTGGCAGAGAATTGAGAGTGGGGTGGGAGGCACTTGGAGATGGGTCAGCCTCAGGGCAGGGAACTCTGACCACCTCCTCCAGCCCTGGGAGTCTCTGAGCGCAGCAGCTCTAAGACAAGACAACAGTGATCAGGGCCGGACAAGGGCAACTTCCCCTGCAGGGGACAGCCATGGGGGCGCCGCTCACGGGGCTCCAGCGGGAAGTCAGGCGGTTCGTTGTGAGTCTCTCCAGCCCCCAGCAGTGTGGCCTCACTTGTGTTAGAACATTCTGCGCCTGCGCGAGTTTTTGCCGTACCGAAATAGCTCTGCGCCGGCGCGATCTGTCCCAGAACTTGCGACCGGAAGTTCACCGGAGTTCCTGTCCCCTATGCGGGTGGGGGGTGTAGCGGGAAGGAAGTGTGCTCGCCTCCGCTGTCCCCCAAGGGAGACGTGACGGGAAGCGTCCGTTGCCCCAGCGCTCCCCGTTGCTGGGAGGCCGGAAGTGTGCGCCGCGGAGCTCTGTCCGGGGGAGCAGTGACTCTGGTTCCGAGGGGGATGGGGCCGACGTGGCTGGTGCTGGGAGGCGGGGCTGAGGGGCCAGCCGGGGAGTCCCGAGCGGCGCCGCGGCTGGATGGCAGGGGCAGCCCGGAGCGCGCCGCCGCACGGTAAGTGGCCGCCCGCGGTGGGGAGCCGGCGGGACGCGGCGCTCCCCCGGGCTCCCCCCGCCCCTGGAGCCCCGGCCGGGCCGGCGCCGATGCCCAGCGCCCCACCCAGGGGAGGCGGGTCCCTGCGGCCGGGCCCAGCCGGCAATAGTGATGGTCCTCGCGGAGCCGAGAGACCGAGCTCCCGGGTAGGGACTGTCGGTGCAGCGCGGCCCCCGCGGCTGGGCTGACAGCGCCCGCTCGCTCCTGGCAGCCGCCTGGCACTGGCGGGACTCGCGGGACCTGCCCCGGCCCAGCCCGGGCCGCTGATCTGGTGTCCGGAGCCCCTGAGGGGCAGCGACGGGAGCCTGCTGCAGGAGAAGTTGCTTCCTAAGCCTGACTTGTGCCCAGCCCCAAGGGCTGGTGTCCCCGGCGCTGCGCGCCTGTCCACGGGCCTGCGGAGGTGCCCCTGGGCCGCAGTAACGTTAAACCCGCTTTTACACTCTGCCCAGCGCTTGGCCTCGGATGTCTGGGGGCAGTGAGTTTCACTGGCTAATTGGGTGTTGTGTAAAAATATTTCTTTTTTCCAGTTTTAAATTTGCTGCCCTTGGATTTCATTGGCTGTTATCTTGTTCCCGTGTTACAGGAGAAATGAACAGCACAGCCATACCTGATCTTGCTTCACTGCACCATTCAATATTTTATATGCCTCTTTCAAGAATCCTTTTTACTCATCTCCTTTTTACAGTAATAACTGTCTTTGGCTCTAATAATTTTCATCTTCCATGTCTATTTCTGCTATATCCTTTTGGAGATAGGGTGATGAGAGTGAAACAGTATTACAGGAAATGTATACCACTGATCTATAAATCAGCTCAAATGGCTTAAATCTGGCAAAGTTATAAACAACTGAAAACAGGTCTTAGAGTCAAAGGTATCACACAACTTAATCTATAGTGTGACTACCTTTGTCACATTTAATAATGGAAGTGAGCTGTAGCTCACGAAAGCTCATGCTCAAATAAATTGGTTAGTCTCTAAGGTGCCACAAGTACTCCTTTTCTTTTTGCAAATACAGACTAACACGGCTGTTACTCTGAAACCTAACATTTGCAGGATTTTCAGTACCATACTATCAATCAACTTGTTTGCTTTCTTCACTGCTGTTGTGCATTCACCTAGAGAACTTCATTGCACTGTGTATAGTGACAACACAGCTCTTTTCCCTGAGAGCTTTTATAATTTATAAATTTAATTTATAACCTAGTAAATTGTATGAGTTGATCAAATCATCCTTTCCGATATGTATTACTTAGATGAAATTCAGTGCTGACAAATTCAGTCATTCATGGTAAGATTGCTATAGATCAGTGGTTCCCAAACTTTAACAACCCGTGAACCCCTTTCACTAAAATGTCAAGTCTTATGAACCCCGTCCTAAAAATGAATATTTCCAGGGATTTTCTCCCTTACCTCAGCATAAATTATAAGAGCAGATCTTGGAAATATAAAATGTGTTTTTATGACATGCTTATTACACACTATTTATTAATTATTATGTATCATTACAGTATTTTTATTACATTATGAAAACAGCAACACTCTTCCAAGATCTCACTTTTGTAGCTTGTATCAGTTTTGATTAAACCTGTTACAAGACAAGGCTCCTATCGGAGGTGCCAGTAGGAAAAAGGGGTGCGGGGGCACTGCTGGAAAAGTGGGGGGCCTGCAGGGGCCGCCAGAAAAAAAGGGGAGGGACCTGGGGAGGGTGGTCGTGCTGACGTGGGGGCGGCATGTGACCCTCGTCGCCCCCCAGTACTGGTGCCTCTGGCTTCTATGTTTCATCAAGGAGTATCAGATGTGAAACAGCATGAAGCCAACTCCGGTATTTAAGAAGCCAAAGAGTTCCTCCTATACAAGCATTCAGGTCTTGCGCAGTCCAGGCAAACAGTGCACATTACAACAAAGCTTAAACTTTTTCTTCATAATAATTTAAAAACAACTCTAGCAGTCTATTTAATTTTAAAAACAGCAAAAAATATCCACCTCCCTTTCTATTTCATATAAGGAGTCTTGAAGTTTAAATCCCCTCAGTGTGATAGATATGCTTGCTTTGATATGCTTAGCTCTTGGAACTCCCCAAGGGCTGCTGGCCCCATGCTGCTCGGGGTCCCTATGGACAGCTTTGTCTGCCGTTAGGGAATTTTTTCCTGAGAACCCCCTGTAACATTTTGTGAACCCTCAGGGGTTCACGAACCACAGTTTGGGAACCACTGCTACAGATGTCTCTTCCTTTTAGATAAAAATTGTATCTTCAGGAATGCCATCTAGAGCCTTATGTTCTGAATATATTAGCTAATGTGTTCAAAATCTAGTTATAGTTGATTTTGAACACATTAGCTAATATATTGTAGGGTTTTTTTTAATATGTGTTAGCTGGTGGAGAAAATCTAGTGGCGAGCTCATGATGATGCCTGTTTATGCTCTAAGATAAATGTTATGAAGGCTCTAAAATACTCTTGCTCCAGGGCCTGAGGCTGATTGCAGGGTTGGGTCAGGAAGAAATCACACCTATCCCTGGGGGGTGAGGTTGATTGCCAAGTTGGTTTGGGAAGACATTTTCCTGTCCTTTGGGGGATGAGGCTTATTGCTAGCCTGGGTGAGGTCAGGAAGAAATACCCCCACCTCAAGCTACTCTATGGTTTAGTTAGGCGTTTTTGTGGGTGGTTTCACCACATTTTCCTCTGAAGATTCCAGTATTGGTTGCAGTTAGAGATGAGATCCTGAATTTGCTGGACCTTGGACTTTTCTGTGTTATATCTTGTGTTCCTAAGCCTGCTACCCTTCTTAGCTGTACGTATGCAGCTTTTAGTTGTGGGTATTGTGATGTTCACATGTATGTATGCTTTGCAAAAGGAGATGCACTCCATAAAGAGAGATGCGGTTCTGAATAGAGCAAGATATTCTTATGTGAGAGATCCTAGGGAAAGGGAGAGTACTGTGAAGTGCTTTGGGCTTCTCAGAAATGGCATGTGGTTTAGAGGTAAACTCCTGAGAGAGAACAAACACTGGGGCAATTAACTGGAAATTGGAGAGCCTGGTAAACCTTGTCAGAAGTGTTGGGGTTTTCAGTAGGAATCCGGAGGTTACTGCAGGGCTGATGGAATGAGGCTTTGGGAGAATTTGCTGGCTGCTGTTTCCATTTCCTCTTTAGTGAAATAACTTTTCTGTTCTGAGCAGTGTTCCACTGTGGCTCCATGAACAGGCAATGGGCTTCCAGGGAAAATAACTATACAAGTTCTTTCCAAGCACATTTAAAGTGTCATCGTGATGGAACGTGGGCTTGTGCCAAAAAGCCGCTAAAGCCGCGTTGTCTGAAAGGGCAGAGCTACTGGCTGTGAGGGGGAGGAGGCAGGCGCAGAGTGAACTCACTGCCACGCACAGACCACTTGAGAGTTGTTTGGAGGTCTGGGATGAACTTTCCAGGTGCATTGCTTGAAAACAGCTTGCAGAAAGAACTAGAAGGCTTCTTCAGCTTCAGCAGGGGACTCCCGGCAGTTTCAGGAGCATCTTGTGTAAATATTTGGTTTTATCTCTCCTTCCTTTCTCTGACTTGCAGTAGATTTTTATCTTGGTGTGAATCTGCATTTCTGGTTCTGTTTGCATTTTCATAGAGACTGCTGCAGACTCTGCTTGCTGTATAAGTGCCTGGGGAGGAGGCCAGACTCTAGGCTTGCACACTGGGAGGGGAAATGTGATTCATTTTCATGCTTTGAATTCAACACCCCACCACTGCCAGGAGTGAGTGAATGGCAAAATTTCCACCCCTCTTTTCATCTTTCACTTTCTGTTGTGGCATCTGTTATTCCTGTGCTGGGAATACTTTTAGCTAGTTCAGTCATATGCTCTACAGCTGTGATTGAAAGGGCTAAGCAGAGCTAACCCTCTTCAGTACTTGGATAGGAGACCTCCACAGAACATGTTGGTGTTACAGAGAGTGGTACTTATGATTGTGTAAAGGGCACTTTCTCCTTTAAGGTGGTCCTGACCCCAGTATGATGGGGTGCTGTGCTGTTGGAGCTACTGTCTTTCAAATTAAGTGTTTAAATGAAGCCCTGACCATTTGGGTCTGTTGCATATATTGAATCCATCATCCACTTTTCCACAGGAACAATACAGATCTGCTTTAAATCCCAGTACACCTGGTGCTTTTAAAATTCTGCCCCATTGTCTTGGAGCATCTGAGATCCTCTCTGTCTCTCTAATTGTTTATCTGGCTCCCATTGCTGTGGTAGCTGAGTGCCTATGATAGGGGAAAATCGCAAAACCAGAAATGTGATGTGAACCTGTGACTTTAATGACACCATGATATATCTTCCTCCATTCCCCTGAGCGCTTTGGTCTTAAGGCAGTGTGGGGTTCTGGCTGCCCACTTCGTTGCTTTTAGTGGTATATTTGAGATGACTGTTTAATCTGGCTTTCCCTGTAGGTAATGTGCATTTAGAGACTTCACAGGCATTGTCTGCTCAGAAGTCTATAGCAGTGGGATACAGAATCAAGGAGACTATGGAGCTATGAATAGCAAGCTGTAAAGCAGTGGGACTTGAGGCACTATAAACTGACAAATGCTGGGATTGCTCTAAGCATCTTTCTGGGCATGGAGGTAGATATGGGTCAATTGTTGCGTGCAATCCCTCACTGCTTTGTCATAAATTCCTAACAGCCACCATGTAAGGAGCTTGGAGGAATATGCGGGGGTGCCTGTGCTACCAGAAAAGGGACTTGAGAGCCATGGGCCTCTTCTGACTCACCTGGGAGGATGTATAACTTCCTTCTCTGGTTTTATTAAGAAGAACAAACCCTAAGTCTCAGACAGTTAATTGACATGAGTGGAAGTAAGAGAATCTGGTTCTGCTTCTGTTGTCCCTTAAGCAACTGACATCTCTTCTGGAGAAGCAATTCTAGTCTCCCTAGTCATCTGCCTAGACTTCTTTCTAGAGCAAATCCTGCTAAGAGATCCGCAGTCAGCTGCGATCCATGCTTTGAGCTTTTGGGATTTGCTATTTTCCCCTCATGCTCCTGTCTCTAAACAGGATTTTTGTTGTTTAGACTAAATGGAGCTTCAGGTATCCAATTTATTTGCCATTTGGTCTCGGGCAGATGCGGGACCCTCATTTTGGTGGTTCCAACCCAGTAGGGCCTCCCCTTGTGTGACATGAGCTGTGGTGGCAGCTTCTCTTCCAGCCTGATCTTCTGCTGTGGTTCAAATTGTGACAGTGCACACCCACAGGATAACAACTGTACAGCAGAAGTGGGAATGTGAGGGGTTAGGGCCTATTCCAATGTTCCTCATCCAAGACAACACAAACTTTGATGAAAGCAGTTGTTTTGTTAGGATTGTTCTTTGCCTTAGCTTAGGCCCTTCTGCTTAGTACTGGGGCCAGCCCAGAGCTCTGCTACTTGGGGTCTGCCCAGCATGGCTACTCTCTTGGTATAGGAAGCTATTATTTTCCAAGCTCTCACCCTGCCACTAAGGGCACCAGTTTCCATTAGCATAGAATCAGACTGGAAAAGGTGCTGAACACTCTGGCAGTTTATAACAGGAAATACTGTAAATGCAGACTCCCTTGCGGTTGGTTTAGTAGAGAGAAGATTGTGCTCTATACGTCCCCTAACCTCTAGCTATTTCTGCCCTAATGTGTATGAAACCTTCAGCCCACTATGTACTCATGCAATGGGAGGATGCATAGTCAGATACTAGATGGTTAAGGGTTTCAGAGTAACAGCCATGTTAGTCTGTATTCGCAAAAAGAAAAGGAGGACTTGTGGCACCTTAGAGACTAACCAATTTATTTGAGCATAAGCTTTTGTGAGCTACAGCTCACTTCATTGGATGCATACTGTGGAAACTGCAGAAGACATTATATACACAGAGACCATGAAACAATACCTCCTCCCACCCCACTCTCCTGCTGGTAATAGCTTATCTAAAGTGATCACTCTCCTTACAATGTGTATGATAATCAAGTTGGGCCATTTCCAGCACAAATCCAGGTTTTCTCACCCTCCGCCCCCCCCCCCCCACACACACACAAACTCACTCTCCTGCTGGTAATAGCCCATCCAAAGTGACCACTCTCTTTACAATGTGTATGATAATCAAGGTGGGCCATTTCCAGCACAAATCCAGGTTTTCTCACCCCCCCCCCCCCCCGCCTCCAAAAACCACACACACAAACTCACTCTCCTGCTGGTAATAGCTTATCCAAAGTGACCACTCTCCCTACATAAAGCTTTCAGAACTCTCCCCTTTTTGGGAGGGTTCTCCAGGCCCCTTAGTTTTACAGTTGTTGTGCAGGGCTGTAGCTGAGAGAGACCTAGACTGTGTAAAGGAAGCCAGATGGCATGGAAGCGTCCCAGATGCATTCCATTGACAACAGGAGGTTTGCATCTACGCAACTGGGGTGGGAACCACATCTGACACAACTTCCTCTCTCTGTAGTCCTGTCATTAACACTTACCCCAAGCATTAGCCAGTGTCTGATCGCTGGGATGACTGTGAAGACCTGACAATTTGTCTGTCCTCAGGACACTAAGCAGAGTTTGTGGATTTTAGATGTGTTGTTTATAATCCTTTGATTCTGCTGGAGATAGTTGTGTTGCATAAATCTCCTCATTGTGATTGCTGAGGGCACTGACTGGAATTCCATCACCCATCACATGGCAAAGTGCTGGCATTTATGCCTGTAACAAGTGAACAATCTAATCTCTAATCTGATTCCCAGTGACACTCCTTGTCAGGGAGAACAGGGATTTTCAGAGTATTTATGAGATAGTTGGAAGGAGAACTTCTCCCTGAAAATTAATACGGTTCTCAGTCTCAAGAGGTTTGCTATCTGGAGATCAGCTATGATCAGAGAAGTTTTCATCCAACTGGCAGGCAGTTTGTTCTTGGAGCAGGACTTTGATCCAGCAGGACGTGAAGCCTTTTGGTCCCTCTCATTATAGCTACTGCGGCCCAGATGTACTAAAATTACTCCCCTTTAAAAGGTGAACTGCAGATAATTTTAAGAAAAGTGCCTCAACTGAAGGGTCTGAGAGCTTTTCTAGACCAGAAAAACTTGCTCCAGTACATTGATGTGCAGACCCCTAAAGTAGACACACTGCTTCAGTGCCACTTATTGCACTAATCTTCTAGCATGTCTCCATTGGGGATTTGCATTTGTGTAGTAACACTGATAGTGCAGTATGCCAGCCCTGCCCCCAAGTATAGAGAGAGCCTCTGCTCCAGTATATCCCTAAAATCACCTCATTACCTTTTTATCTTTATAGCTCCATTATACAAGGGCCTTGTTGGAGCCCACCTGGGACAGTGTATCCTATAGGGAGGAAACTTTGTCTAGGGGTGCAGTTTGAGCAGCAGAGACTCTGGAGAAACCAAGTGCTAAGGGAAGGTGCAGGAGGTTGGACTCCTTCCCATGGCAGGCGGAGACTGAGGGACCAAACAGGCATTTTCACATGTCAAATGATAGAGGATGTCACTGCCCTCCAGTCAACTGCTCAAATCCGAGAAACTGAAACTAAGAAGAAACAGGAAGAAGAGAAAAATATGGGTTCCCTGTGCAAAGGGGAATATATTTGGGAACCAAGCTACCCAGGAAGGGAATTGAAAGACAGAGGATATATGAGTTTGAGGCCATGATCCCCTCCAGAAGGGGACACGGACTCTGAGGGTTGAGCTAGGGGCCTTGCACTTTCTCTCAGAACTCAGCTTTTCCTCCTTCCTTTCAGAGATTGGCCAGCCAGGCTGAAGCTGCTCAGCGATGACAGGGCAAAGGTTTCTGCTTCATGGGACGCTTGCCTTGTTTCTGCTCAGCATCCCCTGTGAAGCCCAGGAGCTCCCAGTGGGCAAGGCCACCACCGGTCCCAGTCCTTTGTGTGAGAAAGAGGCCGAGTCCTGGGGAACTTTGTTCAGTGGGGAACGACTGGATGCTTGGATCTTTTCTCTGATTGGCTCAGTTATGGTGGGGCTGAGTGGAGTCTTCCCCCTGCTGGTAGTTCCCCTTGAGACAGGAGCTGCCCTGCAATCAGAAGGTAAATCTTCTTTCTGGCTTTTTATTTCTGATGCCAGTCGTCTTCTCCCTCCCTCCCCCACAATAGGCAGTGACTGAATGGGGCAATGTTCGTATGCCTAACCCAGGAGCTGGGATCTTCCTGGTGCCCTGAAATGCAGGCACAGTACACTCCTGTTATAAGATGGGTGACTTGTGCCATTCCTAAAAATGGGGCAAGTAGTCCCCTAGCTGAGTGTGGGGTTCTGGGACTTCAGGTGTAGAGCTCATAGAAGGAGCATCCTCTAACTTGCATCCTGGGGTGGGGGGATGCTCACATCCTCCTCCACTTCCCTGGAGTACAGACTCCCGTCACCTAGGCCCCTTGAATGTACAGTTCATGCTCTGAGCCTCACTGCCAGGACACAGAGTTCTGAGGCACAACACCACCCACAGCTCGCTCAGGGCGATGAAGTGCCCTGGGGTCTGTGTCACACACAGTTCATTTCCCTCCTCGTGTTCCCTGGTAGTTCAAGCTGCAAGGCCTCCTGATTTGGGTGTCTCTCACAACTTGTCAGGAGTGGTCTGGGCTGTGATTGGCATTTGTTTGTTTTTCAGTGGGATCCAATCGTTTGAAGCAGCTGTTGAGTTTTGCAATTGGTGGGCTTCTGGGGAACGTATTTCTGCACCTCCTCCCTGAGGCTTGGGCCTACACCTGCAGCGCCACTGCAGGTAATACCTGGCGCTGTACTAATGCCCTGAGCACCAGAGCCAGCCCCAGGCACTGGCTGCTATGCTTTCTTGTGAATCTGCACCATGCTGCTTTTCTTAATGTTCCATCTCTCTGTGTAGGTGCCTGATGGGCTCTAGGGAACCTTTGCCTTTCTCCTGGTGCTGCTCCTGGAGCCGCTGTGAATCACTCCCCCTCCATTCCCTACCTTGGTACAACAGAGCCCAAATCTGCTGACCTCCTAGGCTGTGCCTGAGGAGAAGTGGTAGAAATTGACAATCCCTAGAGTTCTTGGGTGGGGAGGAAAGCAAGGTGCAGCTGGCAGAGTTCCAACTCTGCCAGAAAACTGAGCACCACGGCTGGGATGGCCCTGGTCTGCCCTGGGATAAAGCTTGGGACACAACTAGCATAGCCTCCTTCCGGTAGCTGTTTTCTAAAGGGCCCATGGAGACAAGTAATAAATTAGGTTTGCACATGGGCGCACTAATGTCATGAGAAGCGGAGTGATGCTGAACCCTATAGGCCAGGGATCGGCATCCTTTGGCATGCAGCTGGCCAGGGATCGGCAATCTTTGGCATGTAGCCCACCAGGGCCGGCCCTGTTTGTTTACTTGCTGTGCCTGCAGGTTCAGCTGATCGCGGCTCCCACTGGCAACAGTTCGCCATTTCAGGCCAATGGAGGCTGCGGGAAGCGGCGGCCAGCACACCCCTTGGCCCACGCCACTTCCTGCAGCACCTGTTGGCCTGAAACAGTGTGGCAAACCGTGGCCAGTGGGAGCTGCAATTGGCCAAACGTGCAGACGTGGCAGGTAAACAAACCAGCCCGGCCCGCTAGGGGGCTTACCCTGGTGGGCCATGTGCCAAAGGTTTCTGATCCCTGCTATAGGCGGTAGCTGCTCAGTAAGAAGAGAAACTTTTCCTGACTCTTCTGGGAACAGTGCTGCAGCGGGCCAGATTTTTGTCATCTCCCACCAAAGGCTGGATTCCCACTGATCTCTGCCTAAGGAATTGTGGAATCCATTCCTTCCTGAGAATGTAGGAGATAGAGGAACAGCCTGAATTTCTCATAACCTGCTATGTGGCACTTAAGTGGTAGAAATTCAGAATTCCTCTGCAAGGCTCTGTTTCTCCCCTGGTCCTTTCCACCTTCACTGCACAGGCAGGATCAGCAGAGCCTGGTGCCTTGGGCCCCCAGTGACTGCACTGTCTCTGCTGCAGCTTATTCACTTCTCTTGTTAGTCTTTTCTCTTGTCTTGAGCTTCCAGGTTTGCATGCCCCGCCTGGGTCACATTTCTAATGCTTTTGCCTGTCCTGTTCCTGGAGCAGTCTTTGCACCTGCAGTCAGGCCAAACAGATAAGGATCTGACAATCTCAGCCCTCATTGAAAGGAACATGTTGTAGCCTTGGGCTAATAACTTCCCCAGGTGTGGTGTGATGGGGAAGATCGGTATTTGGCTCAACTTCCCAAAGCACAACCTTCATGTCTGTACGTGCTACTCACACAGGCTCAGATGCAGGATTTGTGCTGATACAAGCATCTTTGTAGCCTCCGGTAAGAGATTTCTGCCTTGCCCACCTTTACACAGTAATTTATGGAAGGGAGGCTTAGGAGCTGGGCTTAGAAGGCTCCTGAGAGTACTCAGGAGACATGATAGCCTCCATTGCTGGAGTATTGGAGATGTGAAGCCTAGTTTCTCCCTTGCCCTAGATTGGATCAAGGATGAGTAGATGAAGCAAATGGGGTTTTCTGCAGGGTCTGTCTGTTCTGTGCTTCTCATAGGACTAAAGGAAATGCTTTCTGCTCTATATTCTTGTCTCAAGTCCCTCAGTCACAAGCTGCATTGTACTGGGGGTGAGGCTTATCATTCAGGAACTCCAACAATGCAAACAGAGATCTCTTTTGCTTTCTAGGAGGTGGGCAGAGCTTGCAGCAGCAGCAGCTTCTTGGCCTCTGGGTGATCATTGGCTTCCTGACCTTCCTGGTACTGGAGAAGATGTTCCTAGAGAGTGAGAAGCAAGAATGGCCCAGCACGGTGAGTGGGTGATGAAAGGGGAAAAGTTTCCATACAAATACTGCACTGTAACAGGGTACACACTGCTCCCCTCTGGATTCAGCCCCTTGGTCCCTCTCCTCCGTGAATCAGGGACACTCCAGTCTGGTGGAACGTCCGTCGTCTTTATTCATGATCAGTTTCCCACCACCAGTTTCCAACTATATACAGGCTTTACAACTGCTTGGCCTAGCACAGGCCTGGACAGCAACAGACTTGAAGGCTCCTACTTCCTCTGAGCCTGGCCTCCCTCCCTTAGTCTCTGCCCCCACTTTCTCTCATTTCCTTCCAGCCTTATAGCTCCTGCTAATGAGGCTGGCAAGTGTGGTCAGTTACCAGGCAAATCCATTCTCCCTGATTGGAGCTGGAGTGGCAGGAGCTGATTAAGGGCTTCTCCAGCAGTACCCTGACACATGCACTAAACCCTATTACTCTCCCCTCCTGGTAGGCTCCTCAGGGGAACCTGGAGCTGTGATTTAACTCAAAGCGTGGTTTGGGAGGCCAGCAGTGCTGGGCGGAGACATGTGACTGGGCACTTGCTCCATTCTTCTGGAGTTGGGAAAGGAGACCTTTCATCTCCAAGCTAAGGTTTTGCCCTGTGGGTTTGGCAGGCATTTCTTGCCCCTGGGTTTTGGATTTTTTAAATTAAATCAGATTTATTTTTAAAAGGAAAAAATAAATATAATTTAAATAAAAAAATAAATCTGTTTAAAAAGAAATCTGAATGATATGTTAAGGCTTAAACTTATTATAGTTTCTTTAAAATATTTTAAATAAATATGCTGAATCCAAGAGTATATATCAAAAACTTTTTGAGTTAAAAGCTGCTTTTTTCTATAAAGAAAGAATCGGGGAAAACATGTAACGTTTGAGGTCAAGCTTTATAAATATGGCACAACAGTAGTAAATAAGAAATATGTTCACCATTTTCTAATATACTAATTATGTACAATGAATAAGAATCTGAAAATATTATGTTACTACACACATTTATTTAAGCGATAATATACCCTCGTAGCGAGCAAAAAAAATCTAGTGTAAAGGCTCTATTTAGTTGTAAATCACCATGTTTTAATGGTTATGTCAACCAATGAAAATGCACCTTTCTTTAGAAAATAACTGAAGTACAAATGGAAACATTGATTAAAACAGATTATTTAAATTGAGGCTTTCCTCTTGGTGATTGATTTAAATCCACCATGGTGAGAAGAAGAGGTTCCCTGGGGTAGTGGGAATTATCCTCACCACCACTCTGGGCCCTTTGACTATGGGATTGGGCTGGTCACAATGGACGGGTCTTGTGATTGGCTACTTTATGTGACATAGTGGATGAGGCAGGAGTCACCTAGCAACAAAGGGACAAATGGTCATTCACAAAGGGATGAGAGGTCAGCTCCCAAACTATGCAAATGGAGCATAAAGTGGCAAGCCCTTGGCAATCTACAGACTTTCTGGGCGGCATCTGAACTGTGCTGGGCTCTTGTTAGTCCCATCCTTCTAAGTAAGAGAAAATGAGACCACGCACTGAAAAGAGTTTGCAAAGAACAGCTAAATGTGACCCGTAAACCTAAGTGAGTGTGTGGAGCTGATACACCTATCCTGTCTCCTAACTTTCTCCTTATTATGTGGTACTGTGGGGTCTGATGTCCCCCATTCCACGATATACAACCTTGTTATAGAGTCCCATTATATTCTTTACACTGAGGACCAAATGTTGTTATTTTGATCCCTGGTCCAGTGCACTTTAGCAAACTTCACTGCTCCTGAAGAATTTATATTGGGTTTAGAGTGTTTCTAGCCCCAGCAGAGAGATTTGACATTAAAATAATGTCTTTCAGATTCCTTTCTTGCTTCCACAAGTGCATGTCAATTTTTAGCTCAGCTACTTAAATATATGAATCCCGTTTCATAAACTTGAATAAAGCCACCCAGAAATCTATTCCATTTCTGAAGGCTGTGGTTACTAGATTTGAGGCCAAAAACACATTCTGTTTGGGCTTTAGGGAGGGAAGGATTAAGGATAAAGGGAGACTTTCTAGGCCCCTCTTCTAGTCACACTCACTGTTGGAGGTTAGAAGTGGTAACAGTTGTTTCTCTCTGATTCAGGGCAATAATTCCACAGCACCTTCCAGAGGGACTCCAAATGGAAACAGCTTCTCCCTGCAGAAAGTAGCAGGCAAAGTCCAAAGAGCAAAGACAAACATGGCTCAGTGTAATGGCTCCTCTCTCTCATCTCGCCCACCGGACCGAAGAATCAAGGTAAATGATCAGCAAGCTGAACCCAGAGTGCAGAAGGAGGGAGTGCAGTGTCCTACACCTGCTCCCAGGTGAAATTGCCGTTATGTGTTGAGGAGGGAGAAGTTTGAAATTCAGCCAGAGTAGTGCAGGGCTTCTGCATTGAGGGTGGCTGAAAACCTGGTCTGGTGTATTGTGGACAGAGCCATTCACAGAAAAATGTTGAAAGTTTAAGAATGAATTGTTTAATTTAACCATATCTGAAACATCCAGGAGCAGACTGGACAACTCTTTCTAAAAATTCCGTACACAGTTACATCAGGGTTGGAAAGGGAAACTCTCAAAAGTCAGGAAAAGCCAGTTCCTATGTCTTCACAACGATAATGCTCTTTGTGCATATGTTACCCCAGTGCTATCTTCAGTGAACTCATCAGACTGTCTCAAATAATAGTCTGAGAGCATGGGTTTTTTTGACTATCCTCTCATTATTTTCATTCTTTCATACCTGTGTTATTTTTAGTTTCTTTATTGACATACACTTTTTATGTGCTGATTTCTTTTTTCTTAACATCTGTACTGTAATAATTTAGCAATTTGGGGACTGAGGCAATTAACTACACAGCTAACTTAGCTTAGTGACTTTTGATGGTTTACGTATGAAAGAAAATTTTCACTCTTTTATTATTTGTGTTACATACACATCTATAGACTCCAGTCAAGGATCAGGACCCCATTGTGCTAGACACTGTACAAACAGTAAAAGAGCATACCTGCCTCAGAGAGCTTACAGTTTAAGTTTTTAAGGCAACATGCAACAAATGTTTGACTAACTTTAGAGAAGGAAGTGAGAGGGTAACCATAAGATGTGGTTACATGGGCTGGCTAGTTCACAGCTTAATTACACTCAGTTAAAAGGTTTCAGAGGAACAGCCGTGTTAGTCTGTATTCGCAAAAAGAAAAGGAGTACTTGTGGCACCTTAGAGACTAACCAATTTATTTGAGCATGAGCTTTCGTGAGCTACAGCTCACTTCATCAGTTAAAAGCTTCTTATAAACTCTTCCCTTTCCTCTTTTAATTCTGTTTCCTTTTATTTTAAATCTCTGCTTTTGTCTATTTCTTAATTTATTTTGCTGCTCTTTGTTATCCTTTAATATGTAGGATGCTATGTAAATCTAGTTTACTAAGTACTTTTCATGTTCGTGACTTTCACATGCTCTGGTGTGTGCACAGGTTGGAAGATACTACTTCAGTGTGTCTAAAGGTGAAGAAAAATTGTATGATGATGTGCCAATATTTTAAAGGAAATGGGATGACCCGGGTATCTACAGGTTGATTAGCTTGGTATCAATCCCATGCAAAATCATAGAAAGGCTGATGTGAAACATAATCAGTAAAAACTTAAAAGATGGTAGCATAGTTAGTGCCAGCCAACTTGGTTTTATGGAAAATAGGTCTTGTCAGCAAAACTTGATGTAATGTTTGATTATATCACAAGTTTTATTTATAAAAGTAACTGTGTCGATATAGTGTTCTTCTGTAAGGTATTTGACTAGTCCCAAATGGCATTCTGATAAAATTAGCAATATACAAAATTAATGTAGCCCATATTATATGGATTAAAACAGTTTAACTGATTGATCATAAAACGTAATTGTAAATGGGGAATTATCATCCAGTGGAAGTACAGTCCATCAGGGATCTATTCTCAGCTCATTGTTTAATATTTGTATCAATTATCTGAAAGAAAACATAAAATCATTGCTAGTAAATTTGCAGATGACACAAATTGGTGGAGCGGTAAATAATTATGAGGATAATTTAGTTATACAGATCAACCTGCATCACTAAGTAAGGTGGGCTTATTTGAACAGCCAAATGCAAGGTCGTACATCTAGGAACAAAGAGTGAGGGGTCACACTTAATGGATGGGGGACTGTATTATAGAAAGCAGTACTCAAGGGCCATGGTAGATAATAAATTAAAAATTAGCTTCTGTTGTGGTGCTGTTAAGAGGGTGAACACAGTCCTTGGATCTATAAGCGGGGGAATATCTAGTAGGAATAGGGAGGTGGTATTACCTCTGTATACAGCATTAGTGAGACCATAACTGAAATACTGTGTCCAGTTCTGGTGCCCAGACTTCAAAAAGAAGACTGAAAAATAGGACAGGGTTCATAAAAGAGCTACAGGAATGATATGAGATCTGAAAAATATGTCTTACAGTGAGAGACTAAAGACATTTAATCTCAGAGGAGGTTAATAGATTACTTGATCATGATCTGTCAGTACCTACACGATGAAGAGATTTCCGTTAGTGGATGGCTCTTTAATCTAGCCAAATGAGGCATAACGCAATCTGATGCTTGGAAACTAAAACTAGACAATTTAGGATTAGAAATAAGGCATAATTTTTAATGAGGTTAATTAACCATTGGAACAACTTACTTAAGGATGAGGTAGATTCTCTACCACTTGCAGTCTTTAAATCAAGACTGGATGTCTTTCTAAAAGATATTCTATAGCTCAAACATAAAGTGTGGGTTTGACACACAAATTATCAGGAAAGATTCTTTGTCATGTGTTACAGATGAGATGGTCGTAATAGTCCCTTCTGGCCTTAAAATCTGCGTGTATTGGTTTTGAGAGAGTCTGTGGTCATATTATGAAAGTCCTTGTTGTAGTAATGAGTATGCATAAGGGGGCAGTTAATGCTATATGTGCAACCTTAATTGTGGTGTTTCCGGACTTCTAAATCATATGATTTTAATGTTCTCCTTGTGAGACTTTTTTGTATGGAGTTCCTGTGGTGGTTTTATACGAGTTGTTTTTTGAAGAAAATACTGGCCAAAATGGGGAAAGTACCATAAAAGGGAGATTTGACTCTTCAGGACTCCAAAGCTCTGTAGGCCACAACAAATTGGCAGTAATGCATTTAAATCAGAACTGTAACACTTTATCTAACCACTGCCTATACAACCTCTTCCACCTTAGAAGCTATGTAGATGGGGAAGGTCCTTTACCCTGGCCAGGAGTATAACATGCACAGGAGGGGAACCCTAAGATGTGCAGGATGCCTTCCTCAATAGCTTTGCTCATGAAAAAGTCTTAGGAACACATCCCTCCTCTCCTTATCAGGCCCAGGGGCTGCTACTGATCTGCAGCAATATGTTCCAGTGCCTAGGTACAAGAGAACTGTACCATGAGCTGATAGTCTTTCTCCAGCTGCGCTCTTCATGAGCTTAGAGAATATCCTGTGGTGCAGTCTCCGGACGTAAGTGTCACAGGCTCATAACTGTCAAATCAAAACAAAGTTTCTTCAGAAAACCCTGGCTTCACTTCTCTTCAATGACAGTTTTCACCCGAGCCATTGACAAGAAAAAGTGGCCATGTTTTAATCATGGGAAGTGGATTTGTTTTCTCTGTTCCTATTTGCTGAGAAAGTGTTGTGTTTTTTTGTTTTCTTTTGTTTTGCTTAAACTTAAATGAATAATTACCACTCCCCTTTGGGCAAAGCCCAATCCTGGAAAATATTGGCTTGAAAAGGAGAAAAAACTTCAGACAGTTATCCATGACTGAAAATGGGATGAGAACAGAAAGTGATTTGCATTCATGATTCTCGAGACACTGCTGCATCCACCTGTTACAGTAATGCACACGTGGAACTTGCTTTTGCCTGTTGGCTTTTTCTCTTTTTACACTCTCTTCTTGGCATCTGTGATTTTTCCTCTCTCTCCCACCCCCCCGCGCAGATTTTTCTAGTCTGTGTTTCTATTTTCTTTCCCAGGTAGTTCGTGGGGGTTGATTCTGCTTTTCTCCCATAATTACTTTTATTTTCTTGTTATGTTTGGTTACAGTTAACATGCAAAAACAATCCGTTTTAACCCTGTTTTCACATGCTCATCATTTTCTAAAACATTCATCTTCTGAGCTAAAATTTTTCCAGGCTTGATCTCTGCCCAAATAGGTGTTTCGGGGTTTTTTTGTTTTTGTTTTTTGTTGTTGTTTTTGTTTTTGTTTTTTTTTTAAGTTTGAGCAAAATCACTTCAGCTAGCTTTGAAATTTGTGTGTTCCACTTTTACTGAAAATTCAACAGCAGAACTTTTAAACCTGGCTGGTAATTAGGCCTCATTATTAACTTCCTACCCCTTATTCTCACACTTAGTTCATATATGTACTGCTCAAAGTTCTGAATATTTGAAAAGACATACTGAGCATGAGTAGTAGAAAATGTCTCTAAATAATTTTTACTTGGAGAAACAAACTTCCTCGTTGCAGAAAACACTACCCGAGAACAGGTGACACTAACCACTTGCTCCCCCCATGGAAGTCTTCCCAGTCGCACACATGTTGAGGCTTGAAAAGCCCTGGGAAATATCCAAACCACCACCTGCAAATCAGATATGTGCCCATCTTGGTTGATGAGAGTCAAAGAACAGTAACTTTGCCCAATGCTAGCAGAAATGTCTGCTCAATGTCTCTTTCAGAGAAGTAAATGTGCCAGTCCTTTTGACAAGCAAAGTTGTTTGCTTGATCCTCAAAAAGCCAACACTAAATGCAGAAAACCACTTGACCTCCCGTTCCTAGCAAAATTGTTCAAACCAAAAGTAACTGCCGAACTCCAGCGTGTGACATCTGTGAATATCCTTGATGTTTCACAACCAGACTTCAGATCAGGACACAGTACAGACACCCCTCGTAGCACTGATGGGCAACCTCTTAGCAAAGGAGAGAGGTCATATCTCAGTGTTCATACTGCTTGTTATCTCTAACATTCAACACAGTTGACCATAAGTTACTGTTGACCTGCTTATATGATACAGCTGAAGTAGATAGCCCACCTCTACAGGACCCAGACAGTGGTGATAGGAATCTGTTCCTCTTCTCAAAAGAGTCTTCACCTACAGATTTCTTCAGGGATCTATCTTGTTCCCTCTCTTCTTAAATATGTACATAAGCTCACTTGGAGAGGTAGTGAGACACCATGGGTAGACTGCTAACTAACAGTACTCAGCTACATATCTAATATTCTACACACACAGCCAGTGCTATCACAGGGGTGTCCCAAGGGCAACAGGAGAGCAGCAGATTGAAATTCAATCCAGGGAGACTGAAGTGAAGCTGGTCAATAGGGGCAATGTTCTGAAGAATTAACTGTGTCACTGGCTTTTCCTTTCATCAAAGGCATCTTCACCCCATTCCTGTCAAGTTGGCATAAAGCCTCAGGGATTTGCTTGATTCATCAGTAACGCTGGATGTACAAGTAACTTCAGCTCTATGATATAACCACATTTGCTCCAACCCCTCAGACAGAGACAAACACCTACAAGATCTCTATCAAGTGTTCTTAGAACTACAGTACCCACCTGCTGAAGTGAAGAAACGGATTGACAGAGCCAGAAGAGTACACAGAAGTTACCTACTACAGGACAGGCCCAACAAAGAAAATAACAGAATGCCACTAGCCATCACCTTCAGCCCCCAACTAAAACCTGTCCAACGCATCATCAAGGATCTACAACCTATCCTGAAGGACGACCCATCACTCTCACAGATCTTGGGAGGCAGGCCAGTCCTTGCTTACAGACAGCCCCCCAACCTGAAGCAAATACTCACCAGCAACCACACACCACACAACAGAACCACAAACCCAGGAACCTATCCTTGCAACAAAGCCCGTTACCAACTGTATCCACATATCTATTCAGGGGACACCATCATAGGGCCTAATCACATCAGCCACACTATCAGAGGCTCGTTCACCTGCACATCTACCAATGCGATATATGCCATCATGTGCCAGCAATGCCCCTCTGCCATGTACATTGGTCAAACTGGATAGTCTCTACATAAAAGAATAAATGGACACAAATCAGACGTCAAGAATTAGAACATTCAAACACCAGTCGGAGAACACTTCAATCTCTTTGGTCACTCGATTTATGGACCTAAAAATGGCAATTCTTCAACAAAAAAACTTCAAAAACAGACTCCGAGAGACTGCTGAATTGGAATTAATTTGCAAACTGGATACAATTAACTTAGGCTTGAATAAAGACTGGGAGTGGATGTGTCATTACACAAAGTAAAACTATTTCCCCATGTTTATTGCCCCCCCTCCCCCCACCCCCCCATTTCTCACACGTTCTTGTCAACTGCTGGAAATGGCCCACCTTGATTATCACTACAAAAGGTTATTTTCCCCCCGCTCTCCTGCTGGTAATAGCTCACCTTACCTGATCACTCTCATTATAATGTGTATGGTAACACCCATTGTTTCATGTTCTCTGTGTTTATAAATCTCCCTACTGTATTTTCCACTGAATGTATCCAGTGAAGTGAGCTGTAGCTCACGAAAGCTTATGCTCAAATAAATTTGTCCGTCTCTAAGGTGGCACAAGTCCTCCTTTTCTTTTTTCAGTGACCATAAATGCCTCATGCCTTCTTCAGCTTGTTAGAAGACATTGCCTTTTCCTTGGGCAAGGATTTGGACGCAGCAATCCACATAGTGATCAGTCTCCTCCAAAGTGTATTACCATTAACTCTGTGTCTGGTCTTGAAGGCAGAAGTAATGCAGAGGCCCTGTTTTATACATAATTTAGCTGTCAGACTCAACAGGCTGGGCCACCATCACCTCATGCTCCAGTCCTTCTTCTAACTCTTAATCTGCCTCCATTGCCAATTCAAGGCCTTGGTCCTGATCTTCAAAGCCAGCAATGGATCAGATCCCATCTACACCAGTGACTGCATCTCCATCCATGACCCACCAAGGCAACCGTACTCCTTTAGGATTATACAACTCAAAGTACATGAGAGCAAGAGGTAGTGCTCAGTCAAGTGGGTTCAGCTATGGAATGAGCTTCCAAAAGATTTAGACTAATCTAGAGCCTGATCACCTTCGCGCATGCCTTTCCTGTGATAACGTTTTCCCACTAGCGAGATTGAGATGCCTTAAGCAGTTTCCTAGAACCACAAAAGCGCAGAAGACTCCATGAAGTCCACTAGAGACATTGCTATGTAAATCGAATTAATTTGTGCAGAACTTAAATAGTATAGTGGTGGGCACTATAGAAAACCCTAAAAAAGAGATGGAGACAAGCCAGTGTGGGGGCAGCAGGTTGGCACTTGCTTGTAGTTGTTCAGAAGTGTTTATCAGTATATGTCAATAGGCGGCAGCCAACCTTAAAGTAGGTCCATCAGAATTGAAATTGACTTCTTTAGGGGCTGTTAGCACTTTCCTTTGATTGGTTTCTTGTTCTTTAAGAAAAAAATCTGCAAAATTCTTGTTTTTAATGTTTTTAATATTTAATACAATAGTTAAAGTTTTTAAGCCACAAAAAGTAAATTTCAGCTTCCACCAGCAGCATTAGCTCTGCTGCTTTGTACCTCCCATGTCTTGCATGGGAGACATTTGACAAGTTGTATATTAAACTATGCAATTGACTAGAAAACAGACTCTATTTATATTAGAACCCAGTCACTTATGCAAATTTGTGGGCACCATCTGAAATCTGTTGTTGCTTTACAATTGGATTTATTCCTCCAGACTGCCTTCCTGCTCTTCCCTTTCTCTAGTAAGCTTCTTTCTCTTCTTTCTTCTCTCCCTGTCTTTAGAGCTCTTTCTAGGCTTGTACCTCTCTTCCCCTTCCCCACTAAACTGGAATTCTCAACCCTAAGGCTCCCTCTGTCTGCACTAAAGCTGAATGTGGCAATACAGTGTCCTGTCTGAAGCACAGACATGGGGTTTAAGCCATTGACCAGCCCTGCCCCACCATGATTCACCTGCTCTTAGAGTAGGTAATTGCTCGTTGGCTGTACCTGATGCTTCCCCCTACCCTGAACCTCATCAAATTCCCTCACTCATGAATGCCTCTGACTTCCCTCTGCAGATCAGTGGATACCTTAACCTGTTGGCCAATACCATTGATAACTTCACACATGGCCTGGCGGTGGCAGCCAGCTTCCTGGTTAGCAGAAAGGTAAGGTTTGTACTGCACCCACCTGCCAAACTGGAGATCAGGGGGAACCCTTCTCTCAGCTGTAGTGTGTGCCTGCCTGCCAAGTAAAGGACTTGGGGATCCCTTCCCCAAGGGGTAGCTGCCAAGATAGTGTTGTGCTGGAGAAAACAACAGGGAGCAGCCCTGCTTGGGACATAACTTTTCTGGCTCTAATGTTTCAGATCTGGGAGACCCTTGGCCCCTGCATTAGGCATGCATGGGCCAGGTAGTTATCTCATATGTCTCTATAGCAGGGGTTGGCAACCTTTCAGAAGTGGTGTGCCGAGTCTTCATTTATTCACTTGAATTTAAGGTTTCGCGTGCCAGTAATACATTTTAATGTTTTTAGAAGGTCTCTTTCTATAAGTCTGTAATATATAACTAAATTATTGTTGTATGTAAATAAGGTTTTTAAAATGTTTAAGAAGCTTCATTTAAAATGCAGAGCCCTCGGACCCGTGGCCGGGACCCGGGCAGTGTGAGAGCCACTGAAAATCCGCTCGCGTGCTGCCTTTGGCACACGTGCCATAGGTTGCCTACCCCTGCTCTATAGTGAGCACTTAACACAGGGCAGCCAGAGTCCATTCACTCCAGGGGTGGGAGGGCTGTAGTCTCTGCATCACTGAGCTTTGAGACCATTTCCTAATAGACTTTTCCCATCTTCTGCAGGTTGGGCTCCTAACCACTATGGCAATCCTACTGCACGAAATCCCACATGAGGTGAGAAGGGTCTGCAGCCTGCTGCCAGGGCAGCTGGGAAGTTAGGACCTGGTCTGAAGCAGAACAGCAGTGCTCTGTGTGCAGGAAGAGGGCTGGCGGGGTTACCTCTGCTCTGCATCATTCTTCCCTTTCCTTGGAGGATCTGCTCCCTGCCGAGTGTTGGTGTTCACCCATCATGTTCCTAGTCGTGCTATCTCCTTTGTTAATGCTGGTCTCTGTGTTCAGGAGAGTTAGGATCGATAACCACTGACTCTGCTTTCCCATAGGTAGGAGATTTCGCCATCCTGCTCCGGGCTGGGTTTGACCGCTGGAGTGCAGCCAAGATGCAGCTTTCCACAGCTCTGGGGGGAATTCTAGGAACCTGCTTCGCAATCTGTTCTCAGTCACCTAAAGGGACAGGTAAGGCTCACTGGGGCTGCATTGAGGAATGTGTCTGCTTGTGTGCCTACTTTCCTCTGTCTGTTCTCCTGTATCCCTTCTCATTACTAATGGTGATTTTCACTGCATGTGCAGGGGAAACCATAGCTTGGATTCTGCCATTCACCTCCGGGGGATTCCTGTACATTGCCTTGGTAAACGTTGTGCCTGACCTCCTAGAGGAGAAGAATCCCTGGTAAGTGGCTCCATCGTGGTTATTAGTATGCTGGTATGGCATTTCTGCTGTGGTGGTGGGAGAGAACATGGTGGTAAAGCCTCTGTTCCTGGGAGCAGGTGAGCACTTTCTCCCCAAATCCCGTGAGAGGTGAGATGGTATCTAGCAGAGTCTGCTGTGCTGTGCCAGGTACTCAGGCTTCGGCCAGAAGCTATCTCTAATATAATGTGCTGGCTCCTGAGCATGTTAGATAGAACAGATTCAGTCTAGGCTGTTTAGCCAAGCGCCTGACCTAACGCTGTCCTCAGGGTATCTACTCCTTCCCCCATCCCTAATTCGGTGCTTTGCTGAATTGACATTGGGGGGGTATAAAACAAGCAATCAATGCCAATTTGATACTGAATACTGACGGAATTCATCTGTTGACATGAATGCATTCAGCTCCCAGCAAAGCCAGTGTCACTTCCAATTATTTTTTAACCCTCTGATCTTTGAGAGTTTGCCACTTCAGGGATCTAGGGACCATTCTCTTTCAGAGGATTAGCAGGTTATTGTGACTTAAGATTTCTCAGTCACGTTCCATTATGATGGATTTTTAATTCTTCCCATTGCACTCTGCTCCCTAGAGTTATTAATTTCCCAACATTTGTTTTCCCAAAATATAGTCTTTTGTGCTGCTGCTGTTCAGTGACAAACCCCAAATCTCCATTCATTACTGTCATTCGTAGTACCCATCTTCCATAGAATGATCACTATATCCTTACCGCTTCGAGTAGCCAGCCTTGTCTCCTGTTAGAGTGGTTTCTCAGACCTCTCTCTGCCACACAGAAGGAAGTGTTGTGAATATCTTTCCTACTCCTGGAGGTGGCTCCCTTGCCCATGTGCATGTCCTCACTCAGACAACAGCCCCGGTCCATGACCATTCTAGAGGGACAGAGTGCATAAGACAGTAGGGGGGGGGGGGGAGAGGCAAACTTTTTTTTGCCTGAGGGCCACATCGGGGTTCTGAAACTGAATGGAGGGCCGGGTAGGGAAGGATGTGCCTCGCCAAACAGCCTGGCCCCCTCCCACTTCCTGCCCCCTGCCTGCCCCCTTAGAACCCCCGACCCATCCAACCCCCCTGCTCCTTGTCCCATGACTGCCCCCTCCCGGGAACCTCCCCGCCCTAATTGCTTCCCCTGGGACCCCACCCCCTATCCAACCCCCCCGACTGCCCCAACCCCTATCCACACCCCTGCCCCCAGACAGGCTCCCCGGGACTCCCATGCCTAACCAACCACCCTCTGACCCAACCCTCTCCCCGCCCCCTTACCATGCCTCTCAGAGCACCAGGACTGGCAGCCGCGCCGCCTGGTCAGAGCCAGCCACACTGCTGTGCTGCCTGCCAGGAGCTCGCAGCCCAGCCGCCCACAGCGCTAGCAGCATGGTGAGCTGAGGCTGCGGGGGAGGGGCCACAGCAGGGAATGGGCCGGGAGCTCAAGGGCTGGGCAGGATGGTCCCATGGGCCACAGTTTGCCCATCTCTGGCATATGAGATTGGACTCCTGAGTCCCTGTACTTGTGCAGATTGGGACTGGTTCCTGGCCCATTCTGACTCTCTCTCGTTTCTTCCCCAGGAACTCCCTGCAGCAGGTCCTTCTCCTGTGCACAGGCATTACAGTCATGGTGCTGCTCTCACTCACTACAGAATGACCTCCACTCAGATGACCTCATGCTGCCTCCCAGAGCTGCATTGACTTTGAGCTGTTACAAAGCAATAAGGAACACTAATGTAACTTCCTGTGTGTGCGCTTGTGGGTCCAGCTGCTAGTGAGAGAGGCAGGTGAGAAAAAGAGGGAGTCATTGGGGATGCTGGACTCCATTCCCTGGCTCTTCTATCCCTGCTCTGTTAAAATCCCACAAACCAGGGCTTCCAATGTTGGTGTTTTATGGAGTGAAAGCTTTTGACGAGCAGAAATGAACCGAGAACCTGTTCCAAGAACAGACTGTGTCTCACCCTGGAGTAAGAACAAGTGTTGGAACTGCACATCTTAAGCTGCTGAGTGAATAGGACAAGATCCCTTTATCTGGCAAAGAAGGATTTACCTGCTAGTCCAGGCCCAGAGAGAAAACAATTCCCCAAAGCAGCAGCAGCAAACCACCAACATTCCCCAGTGCAGCCTACCTAGCAGGAGCAAAGGTACTATCAAAACCACATAGTTAGATAGACGTGAGAAGGCCCCTTCCCACTCAGCCCTCATTTATCAGTAGAAAAAGGGGAAGGTGTCAGCCTGGACAGTCTGCCTCTCTGAGTTCCTCTGCCTTAGCTTTGAAATCAGGCCTAATACTTGAGGCAGGTTGGAACAGGAGGTTATATAGCTTAGCCTGAAAGCTTCTGCCTTTAACCTTAACTCCTCTGTTTAGAGAACCTATCCCCTCCCCTGTTCAATCAGCCTAGGTTCATATTTGAGAAATGGTCAGCAAATGTTTCCTGTCATCCCAGGTCATCAACTCACCTGTATCTGGGGGAAACCTGCTCAGTCACTGCCCCCCTCCTAAGGCCTCTCATCAGCAGGTGGAGAGTGAGCAGGGCTTGGACTCCGGCTGCCACCAGAGGAGGAATGGAGGAGAGAGAAAACGCTGACTGTATATAGAGAAAGGGCAGAGTAGAAAAGAAAACATCATGCGTGTGTGAAAGAGATGGCTAGGGGCAGTGTTTCTCAAGGACCAGTCCATGAGATCTCCCTGACACAGTTTAGGAAGGCAGCAAGCCAGTCCCTGGTAACAAAAAGGTTGAGAAACACTGGAAAGGGGAACCTGCTGGTGAGAAGGATGAAAAGTGAGTCTGAAATCACTGTGGCTGCAAAGCTGGGAGAAGGAATCTGAGTGCGACTGTGCCCTTGAGTTTAAGTCATGTGGTGTCTGGGATCCCATTTGATGGCAGTTTAACCGACTAGTAAAACTAAACCTAAAAATTCTTGGTTTTGGCTGACGGGGATTACCAACTCTGACAACCCCACCTCCTCTGGAATGTCAGAACTCCCTAAACATATGCACAATTGCTTAGGCCTTACCTATAGAAGAAAATTGTACCGATTTGAATTAAATCTGTTTAGAACCAATGTAGTTAGTTTAATGCTACCTCCTTGTGTGAGGCACAAAATAAGAGTCCACAACAAGGTGTTCTGAATCCTTCCTGTTCCATCAGACATCACATAGGATACAAATAAGCTCTGGCATTAACCAGGGGTTGCATCAATTTAACTAAATCTGGCTCTAAATTGCTTTTGTTAAATAAATACAGCTTTCTTGTGTAGCTAGGGCCTTTTTGAAAAGGGCTGGCTCCCGCTGCTGTTCAGGACATTTAGGGCTCCAGTGAGTGGCCAGGTTGCTTAGGCAGTAACAAGCCAGAAGCGCGGCCTAGAGCAGGTTGTCCTCATTTCCTTTAGAGCTCTGAAAATTTTGACTATTTCCATGTGATAGCCTGAGAGCTTCTGCTTGCAACATTCTCTGCAGAAGGGCCAGTGACTAAAATCCCTGCAGCTTTCCTTACCTGTCCCTACATTACCAGCTAGACCTGTTGGAGCCATGAGGGAGGCTGTTTCAGTACAATGCTCTGTTTCCCCTGGAAAGTTGCCTTCCCATGACAGCTGCTTCCTATATCATCCAGCTGCTGTGAGCTCCAATCAAGCATTCACTCTCTTCTTTTCAGGCATCAGAGATGACCCCTAGCCCTAAAGTACTCAGAGAGGCGACAAGATACCAATTCCACCACAGTGTGGCTAGTTTACCTGGGGGTAGGAGCTACAAAACCTCTGATGTGGGAGCCTGGAAGAAGCAAATGTATGTACGCCCAGTAGTTCCCAAGAGTTTGTGTTAGGTGAAAATCAGGTTGGCATTTTTTAAGTTGAGGGCCTAGTGCATTGCAGGGCTTAGTGCCTGGGCCTTGGTGCTATTGCATCAGTGCTGGGTTTGGCTAAGAATGTAAACCACAGCAGGGATTCTGCTCAGTGTTCAGGAATGTGCAGTGGGTGACACTGAAGCATTAATCACGGAGCTGTGTCTTTTGGCTGGCAGCCCAAGCCTGGACTGAGTCTGCAGTTCCTGAGAAGCTGCACCCACAGGGGCAGCACAGGGCCTTGAAGAGCGATGATTAGCTGCTCCACTGCATGCTGTGGGAGGGAGGTTGTTAGCCACTCCACTACATTTGTCACTTTTGGAAATGCAGAAAGAATCCTATTTTCTAGCTCTATTTTTTCAGCTACTCTTGTGCATTTTCCCATTCATCTGTATTGATCTGATCTGCGTGGAGACAATAGAGATGAAATAAATGGTTCTGAGTGTGGGTTTGTTTTTCTTGGTATGGAAAGTATTTAAAACCATCCAATGCTCTCATCACCTGATAACCGCGTAGATGAGGGGGTTGACTCTTTCCAGGACTCCCCATCTTGCCCCTTCTGACCTGTCTTTGTTTGGGGAATAGAAGAAATCCCTCCATGAGCTTCTTGCTAAGCTTCTTGGCTCTTCTTGCATTCACTGTTTGATGGGTTGCTGCAGGGCACCCCTGTCAGAGTGTGAGGAAAATTGGCTTGGCTTTAATTTTTAAGGAAGGTAAGTGATAATTGGGCCAGAAATGGAAACTCAGGTCACTTCTCTTAACTTTCTATGATTCTCTGGGCTGTGAGCTCAGATAGCAGCTGTCCTGGAGAGGGAGCAGAGACAACATGTACATGAAGCCAGCTATGGTCAAACCACATCCGTGCTAATCCTGGAGTTTCCCATGACAGCAGGCAGATCAGGTTGTTTAAAATACATAAGGTGCTTTCAGTAGCCAAAGCTTTAGGAATAGATCATGGAATAGGGCCTATGAGGAGCCAGGTATAGCTTGCTAACTGCAGGGGTATTGCTTTGTGTTCCACTAGCAGTGGAAGAGAAGGAGCTGGAAGAGGGTATGGGGAAGAAACTGAGAGGAATTGATGTTGGATGTAGGTAATAAGACTGAGAGGTAGGGTGAGTCTTTAAATTGACTGGTTTAGGAAACACTAATTTTCTGGTCTTCTCTGGAGATTAGAAAGAGCTGCAGATTAAATCAAATGCAACATTTCCAATTCATTTTTAATTCTTGATGTGATTGTGGCTTCTGACTTGGCAGGTGCAAAAACTTCTTCATTTGCAGAAGAATGTTAGTCCTGTAATTCCCCTTTACATCTTGTGACTCTAAGGTACTAACAAGAGTGTGGTCCCACGTGGACAACACAAACAACCATTAGAGAACCATGTTAAAACACAATTTAAAGAGGCTGCAACACAATTCCCCAAAACAGTTAGGTCTTGTCTACTGTGCCTGATGGAGCCATGGTATGAGGCAGTGACAGAAGAAGCAGGCTACCCAGTATGGTGGGGTTTATGCTGTGGATAGACCCTTACATTTTTCATTCTGGCTGTGAGCATGCACCTATATTGCCCAGGTTTAGCACAAGCAAGATAATGTCCGATACACACTTCCGTTCCTGAGAGCTGATTTTTAGCCTGAAGATTCATAAAGACCACTTTTTTTATTCAGGCAACTCAAGGATTGCCCAGAAAAGGGTTAAACTTCTCTTTCAGGCCTAGCAAACTGCTGAGTTTCTCCTGGATGCCAGGCTTGCAGAGACAAAGTCTGAACAACTAACTGGCTTTGAACAGTGATAAAGCTGCAGCTGGAGGAATAAGTCCCGTGAAAGAGCCAGGATCAGAAAAGATTTTGTGCCTCTGGAGAAGCTGTATTTAACTAAAACTGAGTCAAGTTAGCTTACTTCTCACTGCATACAATCAACGGGCTTTTTCTGCTGTTTAGGCCTTGTTCCACATTGAGGTGGTAGGGGTGGGGAGGAAGAATCATAAATGATCATAAATGCAGCTGTCCGTATTTTGTTGACTTAAAAAATCATGACGCTTTGTTCCTTAACTTTCTGAGTATTCTCAATGCAGCTCTTCACCATTGGGGTGCTTCTCAGAAGCCTGCCACCTTCTGGGAAGTTTTGACTCTTGGGGATGGGAACACCCATCTTTTCTTTGAGACATGGAATATTCCAGGTTAGGCTGTGTTAGGTGTGTGGATCCTGCACACCCTCACTTCCTTGCAGCCTGGAAAGCAGCAAGTCAGATCTACCTCTACATTCACTCTAGTCAGTTGGCCATTGTTTTTCCCCAGTTAGGGTTTTTCTCTTGATTGTTTTCTTAGCTCTGGCTCTGTAGTGTACTAAAATATAGGTTTAGAGGAAATTTTCCCTGTACTCTTCTCCCCACCACTATCTTATCTACTAAATATGGCAGAATCTGCAAAAAGGATGGGGTTCAAAGAATGACTCACTGGAGGCTCCAATTTTCTCATTTCCTACTAAAGCTAGGCTTGTGTAAAGTGAGCAACTCCATCCCAAGAGTGTGGATTTGTGCTATGAATTGCCTTAAGAACTCAAATTACTGGTAAGTAACACTTTGAGTGAATTTTCTCATATCTTCTCCTTCCTTAAAGACTATACAATTCAGTTGAAAGTAATGAGCTGAAATGTTAGTTTAAAAGCACTTGTTGCTTTCAGTTTTGAACAGTTCTGTTCTTTTTACAGATACAGTGGGCTTTTACAAAAGTGATCATAGATGAAGTGAGGTAGGGTAGGTGCACTACACAAAAATGAGGAAGCTAGTTAAATGGAGAGTAAAATGAACAGTCACTAGCATGAAATGCCTGCCAGCTGTATGGAAACTATTTAAAAACACCATAATAGAGGTGCAAATTAAATGTTTACCCCCAAATTAAAAAACATAGAGGATCAAAACAATGCCACCATGGCTAAATAAGAGTAAAAGAAGCAGATAGAGGCAAAAAGGCATCCTTTAAAAATTGGAAGTCAGATCCTACTCAGGAGAATAGAAAGGAACATGAACTCTGGCAAGTCGAGAAAGGAGGCAGGCCAAAAAAGAATTTGTAGAACAACTAGCAAGATTCATAAACTAACAGCAAAAAAAATTTTTAGGACATCAGAAGCAGGAAGCCTGCCACTGGATGATCGAGGTGCTTAAGAAAGACAAAGCTGTTGTAGAGATGCTAAATGAATTCTTTGCATCAGTCTCCACTGCAGAGGATGTGAGGGAGATTCCCACACCTGAGGCATTATTTTAAATGACCAATCTGAGAAGTTGTCCCAGATTAAGGAGTCAACAGAGGTGGTTTTGGAATAAATTGATAAACAGTAATAAGTCACCAGGACCAGATGGTATTCACCCAACACTTCTGAAGGAACTCAAACATTAAATTGCAGAACTACCAACTCTGGTATATAACTGATCACTTAAATCAGCTTCTGAACCAGATGATTGGAGGATAACTAATGTGATGCCAATTTTTAAACAAGGCTTCAGAGATGATCCTGACAATTACAGGTCGATAACCCTAACTTCAGTACCAGGCAAATTTGTTGAAACTGTATCTAATAATTATGTTTCTTACTACGTAAATGAACATGATTTTGTTGGGGAAGAGTCTACACAGCTTTTGTAAAGGGAAATCATGCTTCATCAATCTATTAGAATTCTTTGAGGTGGTCAACTAACTTCAACAAAGGTGATACAGTAGTGTATTTGGACTTTCAGGAAAGGTCTCTGACCAAAGGCTCTTAAGCACAATTAGCTGTCATGGAATAAGATGGAAGGCTCTCTCATGGATCAGTAACTGATTAAAAGAAAACAAAGGGTAGGAATAAGAGGTCAGTTTTCAGAATGGAGAGAGGTAAATAGTGATGATCCCCAGGGATCTGTACTGGGACCAGTACTGTTCATCATATTCATAAATGATCTGGAAAAAGGGGTAAACAGTGAGGTGGCAAAGTTTGCAGATGATGCAAAATTATTCAAGATAGGAAAATCCAAAGTAAACTGTGAAGAGTTCCAAAGGGATCTCTTAAAACTGGGTGAGGAATAAAATGGCAGATGAAATTCAATGATTATAAATGCAAAGTAATGCACACTGGAAAACATAATCTGAAATATACATACAAAATGATGGGACTAAATTAGCTGTTTCATTCAAGAAAGAGATCTTGGTGTTTATTGTGGATAATTCTCTGAAAACTTCTACTCAAGGGGCAGCGGTAGTTGAAAAAGCTAACAATGTTAAGAACGGCTTAGATAATAAGACAGTAAATATGATGATGGCACTATATAAATCCATGGTATGCCCACACCTGGAATACTGTGTGCAGTTCTGGTCACCCCATCTCAAAAAAGATACATTAGAAATGGAAAAGGTATAGAGAAGGGCAACAAAAATGATTACATGTATGGAACAGCTTCTATGGGAGGAGAGATTAAGAAGATTGGGACTTTTCAGTTTGGAAAAGAGACAACAAAGGGAGGCTATGATAGAAGTCTATAAAATGATGAATGGTGTGGAGAAAGTGAATAAGGAAGTATTATTTATCCCAGGAACCAGGAGCCACCCAATGAAATAGGCAGCACGTTTTAAAACACAAACTCAACTCACAGTCTACCTGTAGAATTGGTTGCTAGGGGATTTGAAGGCCAAAACTATAACCTGGATTCAAAAAAGAATTAGATAAGTTTATGAAGAATAGGTCCATCAGTGGCTATTACCCAAGTTAGTCAGGGATGCAACCCCATGCACTGGGTGGCCCTAGACTTCTGACTGTGAGATGCTGTGGCTGGATGTCAGAGGATGGATCACTTGATGGATTGCCCTGTTCTGTTCATTCCCTTTGAAGCATCTGTTATTGGCCACTGTTGGAAGATGGGATACTGGGCTAGATGGACCATTGGTCTGACCCTATAGGGCCAGTCATACACTATGTAGCATACAAGCTTGCTATACCCATCTGGTAAGGCCCTTCACTACAGACATGCAGTACCCCTATTCTAGATCTAAGTCCTCAGACAGATTTACAGATACCCTTCATGACTATCTTGTAGCACTTGTCTGTTCCGTTCATGGCTCTCTCCAGCTTCACTTGCCTATGATCATAGGATGGTACGGCAGAATGGCTATTCACTAGAGACTGGGCTATCGCTAGTACCCTAAGCGGGATTTCAAACATGGTTCTCAAAGGGCTGCCCTTGTGCTCCCCTCTTAACTATCTAGTAGCCAAAGTCTGCTGGTGATGGAGCCCCAGAGACTTGTGTAGGTCCGTGTCTTGGGGTGGATCCTATCGCTGGGTTTAACGTTGTCTTGCATTGAAAGAGTTACGTGGCCTGCATCGCCAGAGTATCTGGCTGTGCTCTGCTGTGGCCACTTGAATTTGGGCCAGCTGGAGAAAAGCACAGCCTGCGATGCCTGCAGCATTTCACACACGCTTTCCTGCCACAGGCAGCGGCAGATGGAAACACGTTTTCTTAAATTTCAGGGGCAGCGTTTCAGGAGGCGCAGACCGCGAGGAGGGAGGGCACGGCAGATGATGCCCAGTGATTCCCTTGGGGGGAGACCGTGTTTAGGGGCCTGCAGGCGGGAGGTACCCAAAGGCCGGGGCACTAACCGCCGTGGCCCCTCCGGCCCTGGGCCGCTCTCCCCGGCCTGCCGCTGGAGCAGAGCGCACGTTGCGCGCTTGCGAAGCGGCTTTTTGGCAGCCAGAGGTTCCCTGTCCCGCAGGCGCCGGACTTCGGTGGGGCGGGAACCCGGCTGTAGCCTCGCCCCGCCGGGGCCGCGCCGCCCGGGCCAGGCTTCCTCCGGGGCAGACGGCACCGTGCCTTGCTCCGGGCGCCCTTTCAGCGTCCCTGGGGGGGGGGGCCGCCCGGCTGCCGGGGACGCGCTGCCGCCCGCCCAGCCGCTCCCCGCCCCCGGCGCGGGTAAGATGGCGGCCGCGGCTCAGGCGCTGAGCGGCTCGGGGCTGCTTTTGGCCGCCGCCGCCCTCGCCCTCCTGGCCGTGGCCATCGGCACCGACTCCTGGTACCAGACGGACGCGCGGCGGCACCGCGAGCGCTGCCGGGGCTTCGGCCACAAGCGCAGCGACCCGCCCGGCTCCATGTCGGCGCCCAGCCCGCACCTGCCGCTCCGCGCCCGCCCCCCGCGGGCCCTGCTGCCCGGCCACCCCCCGGCCTCGGCCCCGGCCCCGGCCGCCGCCGCCCTGGACTCGCACTGCGGCCGCCGCTTCAACTCCACCGTGTCCGGGCTCTGGAGGCGCTGCCACCGCAGGGGGTACGAGCCAGACAGCGAGGAGCTCATCCGGAAAGGTGCGGGGCTGCGAGCTGGGGGCGGAGTGAGGGGGGCCGCTCGGGGGAGGCTGGAGGGGGAGGCCGGTCGGAGGGGACCTGACAAGCGGGTCCGGTGGGGGGGCAGTCCGGGGTGCTGGGGGGGGGTCGCGGGGGGCCCGAGACGGGGGTTCGGGGGGGCGGAGTGGGGGGCAGCTGGGGGCTCTGTCCAGTTGGGAGGAGCCCGCGCTGCCCTTTCCCTGGGCTGCCCCCTGCCGGTAACCGGGTCCCCTGTGGCTGAGCTGAGCATCTCCGGAGGCTGGAGCAGCCGCTGTCCGCGGTGCTGAGCCCTCCTCGCTCCCAGTTGAGCCCCAGGGAGCTGGCGCCGACCGGCCGAAAAGAGCCGTTGGGAAGGGCTGCGGGACTCTGTCGCCCACCCGGCGACCGGGTCTCCGCTGCCTGCTGGGCCGAGGGCAGAGCCCCGGCGGGGGGGGCTGGGGCTGGGGCCGGGGCCGGTTCTGCCCCCTCAGCCTCCCACCTGGCTGCACCAGCTTCTGGTGTGGGGGTGGCAGCAGCGCCCAGCTGCTCTGGGTCCGTCTCTTTGGGGGAGGGGGCAGGGAAGCAATGCCACTGCCTGGTGGATAGTGTAGCTCAGGCAGCCAAGGAATTGCAAGGGGATTTGACACCTTCCCTTGAAACTGGAAGGGAGCACTGATGGCTCCAGGGGACAGAGCTCACAGTCCTGGCCAGGAGTCTGTGGGTGACTGTGGCTTTTCACAGCCAGGTAGCTTTAAAAGGTTGTTATATGTATGTTGGAAGACCGGGTGGCAGATGCCTACCCCATGTAGCACTGCTACAGCTGTGCTGTTGTCTTGGCCAGGCCTGGGTCTGATCAGGTTGCTTCCCTCCTTGTCATTGAAAACATTTAGGCAGCCCAATTTGGTCTGCAGGGCTTTTCCCAGTCTATTTTATAAAGTCCCCATCATTGGAACTAGTGCCATTGTCTCGAGGAGACCCTTCCATATATCCCCTGAAGGGATTTTTCCTGCCTCATAACAAACCTATGAATTTGCTTCATTGGGTCAGTATCTTTTTGGCAGGTAATGGCCAAGAAAAAGGTGAAATATTCCAGGCATGGTCTTACCTGAGCTGTAGAGAAAGGGGCTAGCCCCTCCTATTACATCATGTGAAACTTCCATGTATTTTAATAGGTATGTGCCCTCTCCCACTGCATGATCATCCCTCTGTTATGCCCCAATCTCTATGGTGGGGATAGAACTTTGATCCTGCTCCACCCGCACAGGCCCCTGCTAGGTGAGTTAAGATTATCCTTTAACAGGGCATATGACACACAGTTGAGCAATTGTTTGAACATTATAGTATTTTATTCTGATAGTGCAAACAGTGTGCTGTCTGACTTAGACAGGTATGAAGACAGCCCCTGTCCCAATGTGCTTACAATCCAGATAGACAATCTACAGAGAGTAGTTACGAGGTGAGATACAACAAAAATTCTGTTCTAAAGAGCATGATTTACTGACCCAAGAGAGATTTATTAACATGGATGAGTGAGGGGTTGGAGGAGAAGCTCTTTGACTTAGGCACAAAATGAAAATAAATAGCAAAAACCAAATGTTCCAGTAGTTTTTGATTGTGTCCTCCAGCTGTGGTTCAAGTCCCCATAGCCCCTGTACAACAGAAGATGGAATGACTCACTGTGGAGCTGGATTTCATCTCTGAATCCTCTCTAATGTGCAGCTGTAGCTCTTGTTCCTAGAAATGCCATTACAATATAAATTAGCTTCTTTCTCCATTTAATCTACCAGGATCCATTTTCATTTATATTTCCATGTTGATTTCATTCCACTAAAAGGCAGTTCATTAGTTTCATTTTATTAATTGACCTTGCCATTTTAAAATGTCTACCTCTGTTTCTGCTTCCTATTGAACCATTCTGCTTCTACTGAAATTACTAGCATTTCCCTCCCTCAAAGTCCCCCCCACATTACTTCAAGTCTCACTGTATTGTTCTTTTTTTAAACCTTGCCAAGAGTCCATTCCCATCAGCCAGAAAAGTGCAGGGGTTTTTTGGCACAGGAGTGGTGGTTCTCTGTCTAGTGCTTGATCCACTCACCTCTTTACTCATGGAAGTAAAGTCATTCACATCTGTTAGTATTGCAGGATCATGGATTTAAATGGATCTGGCTCTTTTCTCACTGTTTCCTCCTCATTCCCTGCCTTGCTCACAGCCTCTCTCCACCCAACTTTCCTGTGGCTACAGTTTGTAACCAGCCTCTTCAAGTCAGTGGGGAGATGACTTTTCGTTGTGCTCTTTGGTCAAGGACATTATTATGTTTGGGGAACTATAGGCAAACATTTTCCCTTGTTAGGATCTGCAGGTTGTTACAATTTATCATTGCAAGGCTCTCTTTCTCCTTGCTTTGCAACGAACCCAAATCTGAAACCTTAATGGGGACTACTAATTGATTCATGGAAAAAGAAGAAATTTCAGAGGCCCGCAGTGACAGAGGAATAAATGACCTTTGAATAGATTTTCTAAAAAAATTATTAAGGAAGCAGTCTAGGAAGGGGGAAATCCATTGTTTCAATTCCTTATGGGCCTTTCTCAAGGTTTGAATAAACTAAGTTGACCCTGCCTTTATATAATTATTTACCTATTACTACTAAACAAAAACTGATAACAGAAATAGTGTCTGGTAATTTGGATGTAGTAACTTGCATTATTACATGGTAATATGATTTTTATAGAGACTTTCAAGCATCTTTACAGATGAAAATTTCAGAACGTAAATGTACAATAAGGTAGAGAAGCTGAAAAATATCAGGAGCAAAATTTAGCTGAGGAAATATTTAAACATAAGAGGGAATTATAATGGGGGATTGTTTTAAAATGCTTTTATTAAATGCCCCAAAACCCCACACTTTTTCAATCATGAAAAGATTTCTTGGATAAAAAAATTTCTGAGTAAGAGGGGAGGTGAAAGAAGCAATATAAAATAAAACAAATGGAGAACCTGATGGCAATGAGTGCCATCAGGAAATTGAGATAACTTCTCTTATCAGTTAAAGGGATCAGTGGAAAAAACCCCTATGGATAGCAGACTTAAAAGACACTAAGAAGTTACTTAAATATAATCTGGAACAAAAAAATCCTAGCAGTGGTATAGGACCATGTAAAAAGGACTGGGGCCTATTTTATAGCACCTTCCTTCTACCAGACCAGGCTTTGATCTTGCTGAACCAGCTCACTTCCTTAGTTAGTTCTGTCTGAGCTCTCTACAGGAATCCAGGGAAGCAATATCCACGAGTTAGTTTTATTTTAAGCCTTCTTACCAAACAAATCAAAACTTTGCAGGCTCTTTCCTCAAAGTCTGTGCAGGCTAACTGGTTGCTTCCCCAACTCTGACCCTCATGCTAGTAACTTCAGTAATTAAGATGTCTTGGCACTTGCCTCAGCAATAATGGACTCCACACAGTCTCCCTTCTGTATATTTGGTCTCTGGAGCAATAGCTCTCTGCATTAGCCCCTGTAGCAGTGCACTGGGAGCACACGCCCTGTGGTCCCTCAGCTTTCTGGAAGATATTGCAGTTCTTTCCTCCATGTCCTACTCTTTTTCATGTGCAACAGGCAGGGCTAGTTAACTAGTTAGTTAGCTAGCTAGGTGCAGGCCTCTGACCCCAAAGGAATGGTACCCCTTATACTTTCACAGTCCCATACGAGAAAAGGAAGGTAAAATTATCAATCATCATACAGAAAAGGCAGTAGTAGAAAATAAATATTTTTTTTCTCTGTACTTAGAAATTAGCAGGAAGATGTAAGTGATATCATAAAGTGATAATGAAATACATACTATCCCATCAGTAACGAGGGAGAATGTTAAATAGCAACTGTTAAAGTTAAAACACTTTAAAATTTGCAGGACTGGATAACTTGCACCCAAGGCTATTAAAGGAATTGGGAGAGGAGCCCTGTGAACAATTAACGTTGATTTTTAACAAATCTTGGAACACAGAAGATTCCAGAGGACTGGAAAAGCCAGCATAGCGCCATCATTTTAAAAGGTTAAACAGGATTACCCAGGAACTTTAGGCCAGTTACCAGGACATAAATCTTAATCAAGATTGTGAGAGACTAATATGGGATGCAATCAGTAAAGAATTAAAAAATGGTAGGATGATTAATCCAAATAAACTTGGTTGTATGGAAAATGTGTCTTGTCAAAAACTTTTTATATATATATTTAAATTTTCGATGTTTTAGCCGTGGAATATCAAGCAAGACTAGGGGCTGGTATTTCCTCTGTATACAGTCCTGTATTAGTGAATACTGTGTTACTTCTGGTGTCAACACTTCAAAAGGATGTTGAAAAACTGGAAGGGGTTCCGAAAAGAACTACAAAAATTATTTGAGATCTGGAAAACATGCTTTATAGTGAGAGACTAAACAAGCTTAATCTATTTAATTTATCCATGAGAGGGTTAAGAGGTGACTTGATCACAGTCTACAATTGTCTTCATAGGTAAGAGATTTGTGATAGTTAATGGCTCTTTATTCTAGCAGAAGGAGGCAGAACGTTATGCAATGGTTGAAAGCTGAAGCTAGAAAACCTGACTAGAAATAAGACGCAATTGTTTAACAGTGAGAGCAATTAAACTTTGGAGTAATTTACCTAGGGATGTGGTGGATTCTCTAACACTTGCAGTCTTTAAATCTAGACTGCATATCTTTCTAAAACATATACCATAGCTTGACTAGAAGGTATGGGCTTGATGCAGAAATTATTAGATGAGGTTCTTTGTCCTATGTTATGTAGGTGGTCAGACTAGATTATCATAATGGTCCCTTTTGGCCTTAATATTTATAAACTTCAAATTCACCTTCAGAGAAACACTTCTTGAGATAGTATCTTCTGTTTCCACCCTACATTTTACAAGACTAGAGTAAATTTTAAACCCTAAGAGAGAAAGTAATGAACTTAACATTTTGAAACCAGATGCATATTGGATTTATATTCTAAAAACATTTAAACCATCAGGTTTAAATAAAGAGCTGGTGCGTCTTTGTTTTAATTAATGGAGTTTTAACCAATGAGTCCTTAGTTCAGATCCCTTGGGACATAAGTGATCAATAAAGCAAGCTATGCTCTTAAATTTTATATTTATATACTGAGATAAAAATGTAAAATTGCTTCTCATAGATATGTGATGGTACCATTATTCTTTACAGTAGTCTATCTAAAATAGGTTTTACCTTTGACAAACCCTGCCTAACTCAATGTAGGAGGTAAATCATAAAGTTTGTTTTTGGGTCTATATTGCAATATCTGTTTACTAATGTGACACTGATTTTTATAAGATTTGATCAATGTGGATGTTAGTTTTGTATAGAATTTCTAATTGTATAATTGTATTATAGCTAAGGCTACGTTTTAGTCACGGGTATTTTTAGTAAAAGTCACGGACAGGGCACGGGCAGTAAACAAAAATTCCTGGCCTGTGACCTGTCCATGACTTGTACTATATACCCCTGACTAAATCTTGGGTGTTCTGGGGCAAGGGGTGGCCCGCTGCTGCTCTGGGGCAAGGGGCAGATGCACTGGCCACTGGAGAAGTCACGTAGGTCCCAGAAAGTCACAGAATCTGTGACTTTGATGACCTCCATGACAGACTTGCAGCCTATATTATAGATTCCATAAAAACTCACACCAAGAAGCTAGATCTATAACAGGGGTGGCCAAACTGTGGCTTATGAGCTGCATGTGGGTCTTTTATCTTTAAAGTGCAGCTCTTGGAGTCCCCCACGCCATCCCCTTTCTCCACCTGCTAGACTGGAGGGGGAAACTTGGGATCTCTGCCTGGTGGTGGGCTAGGGGCTTCTGCCCTGCAGGGAGGGGGGTCTTGAGGACTCAGCCCCATGGGGCACACCTGCTGGGGCTCCGGGCTTTAGCAGGAGCAGGGCTGAAGACCGAGCCTCGGTAGGTGCCATCTGCGGGGTTGAAGCCCTGCCAGGTGTGCCCCGGCTCTTGAGTTTCTGAAGATTGTCACATGCGGCTGAGAGGGTCAGTAACTTTGGCCACTCCTGATCTATAAGATGTACACACTGAAGATTCAACCCTCCCCTATAAAGTGTTTAGTATGGTAAATATTAATAATTGGATAGGTAATCAGTGATTGACGATGATTGGGATTACTTAGTTAATTAGATACCATGATGTGGAGGATGTGGCCTAAGTACTTAATTCAGAGCTGTACAAATCTTTTGTGAATGAGACCTGATCCCATTGAAGTCAATAAGTGTTAGATTGAGTTCTGGGAGTGGACAAGAGGCATCCATACAGCGAAATCCCCCATATTACCTCTCTGAATTAAGTCTTTATTAACAAAATTCAATTCTTGTTTCTCTGACCTTGTTGATGAGAGCTGTATAAGGACTTACAGAGGGAGCACACTCTGGAATCTCCCTCTTTAGTGTGGTTTTACAAATCTACGCACTCAGATTCAGTTATAAAATAAATTAAAATCAATAGTCTTTTAGCATGTGGGAAATTGAGATCACCTCTCTCCCATCCCCTTCTCAATTTCTAAATATCCCCGGACTTAAGAGGGCCCCAGGTACTTGCCTTTTTTTCCTTGTGAAGTCTGTCCCTCCCCCAATACCCAGTGGAGCCTGGTCTGTGCTGAGAGGTTACTGTCCCAATGAATCTCATGAGAGAAGGAAATCATAAGAACATAAGATAAAAATGGCCAGACTGGGGTCAGACCAATGGTCCATCTAGCCTGGTATCCTGTCTATGACAGTGGTCAGTGCAAGATGCTTCAGAAGGAATGAACAGAACTGGGTATTTTAGAGTGATCCATCCCGTTATCCAGTCCCAGCAGTTGGAGGTTTTAGGACACCGAGAGCATGGGATTTTATCCCTGACTGCCTTGGCTAATAACCATTGATGGATCTATCCTCCATGAACTTATCTAATTCTTTTTTGAATCCAGTTATACTTTTGGCCTTCAACACCCTATTGCAACAAGTTCCACAGGTTGTCTGTGTTGTGTGAAGAAGTACCTTCTTTTGTTTGTTTTAAACCTGTTGCCTGTTAATTTCATTGGGTGACCCCTGCTTCTTGTGTTCTGTGAAGGGTAAATAACACTTCCCTATTCACTTTCTCCATAGCATTCATGATTTTATAGATCTCTTTATAGATCACATCCCCTTAGTCATCTCTTTTCTAAGATGAACAGTCCCAGTCTTTTTAATCTCTCCTTGTATGGAAGCTGTTTCATACCCTTCATCATTTTGGTTGCCTTTCTCTGCACCTTCTCCAATTCTAAAGATGATCAGAACTGCATGCAGTATTCAAGGTGTAGATGTACCATAGATTTATATAGCAGCTTTATGATATTTTCTGTCTTATTATATACCCCTTTCCTAATGGTTCCTAACATTGTTAGCGTTTTTGATTGCTGCTGCACAATGAGTGAATGTCTTAGAGAACTAGCCACAATGACTCCAAGATCTCTTTCATGAGAGGTAATATCTAATTTAGACCCCATCATTTTGTATGTATAGCTGGGAACATGTTTTCCAATTTGCATCACTTTGCACTTACCAGCATTGAACTTTATCTACCATTTTTGTCGCCCAGTCATCCAGTTTAGTGAGATCCCTTTTGTAATGTTTTGCAGTCAGCTTAGGACTTAACTATCTTGAGCAATTTTGTACTGTCTGTGAATTTTGCCATTTCACTGTTCACCTCCTTTTCCAGCTCATTTAGGAATATGTTGAACAGCACTGGTTCTCACTACAGATTCTTGGGGACCCCACTATTTACCTCTCCATTGTGAAAACTGACCATTTATTCCTGTCCTTTTGTTTCTGGTCTTTCAACCAGTTATTGATCAATGAGAGGACCATCCCTATTATCCCATGACAGCTTAGTTTGCTTAAGAGCCTTTGGTGAGGGACCTTGCCAAAGGTTTTCTGAAAGTCCAAGTACATGATATGGTCTGGATTATCTTTGTCCACATGCTTGTTGACCCCTCTCTCAAAGAATTCTAATAGATTGGTGAGGCATGATTTCCCCTTAGAAAGCCACATTGACTCTTCCCCATCATATTATGTTTGTCTGTTCTTTACTATACTTTCAATCAATTTGCCTGGTACTGAAGTACACTTACCAGCCTGTTATTGCCAGGATTGCCTCAGGAGCCTTTTTTAAAAATCAGTGTCACATCTATCCTCCAGTCATCTGGTTCAGAGGCTGATTTAAGTGATAGGTTACATACCACAGTTAGTAGTTCTGCAATTTCATATTTGAGTTACTTCAGAACTCTGGGGTGAAGATCATCTGGCCTGGTGACTTATTTATCGACTTGTTCCAAAATCTCCTCTATTGGTACCTCAATTTGGCAGAGTTCCTCAGATTTGTCACCTAAAAGAATGGCTCATGTGTGGGGATCTCCCCTATATCCTCTGCAGTGAAGACTGATGCAAAAAATTCATTTAGTTTCTCTACAATGACCGTATCTTCCTTGTTTAGCACCTCAATTGTCCAGTGGCCCCACTGACTGTTTGGCAGGTTTCCTGATTCTGATGTATTTAAGTTTTGGGGTTTTTTGTTTTTGCTGTTTTTGTATGCTTATCTTCAAATTCTTTCTTGGTTTGCTTATTATACTTTCACACTTGTCTTGCCGGAATTAATGCTCCTTTCTATTTTCTTCACTAGGATTTGACTCCCAATTTTTACTGGATTCCTTTTTCCCTCTTTTACCCCGCTGTTTAGCCATCATGGCATTTTTTTGGTCCCCTGTTTTATTTATTTATGGTATAGATATAATTTGAGCCTCTATTACGGTGTTTTTAAACAGTCTCCATGCTGTTTGCAGGCATTTCACTCTTCTGACTGTTCCTTTTTAATTTCTGCTTAACTAGCTTCCTCGTTTTTGTATAGTTCCCTTTTTTGAAGTTAAATGCTATTGTGGTGGGTTTCTTTGGAATTTTGCCTCCTACGAGGATGTTAAATTTTAATTACATTATGGTCACTGTTACCAAGTGGTTCAGCTAATATTCACCTTCTGGACCAGATACTGTGCTTCACATAGGACTAAATCAAGGATTGCCTCTCCCCTTATGGGATTCAGGACAAGCTGCTCCAAGAAGAAGTCATTAATGGTGTCTAAAATTTTTATTTCTACATCCCTTCCAGAGGTGGCATATACCCAGTCAATATGAGGATAGTTGAAATCTCCGATTATTACTGAATCTTCTGCTTTTGTAGCTCTCTCTAATCTCCCAGAGCATTTCACAACCACTGTTGCAAGGAGCTGAGCAGGACTGTTCCCTAGTATGCTTTTACAAGTGTTTTGTTCACTCCCAAGCAATGGGGCTGCCTTCTCCTTCAGTGACTATGCCACACTCACCTCCTCCCCTTTTAATCGCAGGTCACACTTTGTGCGCTCATCCCGAAACTCACTCACAGTCCCTTTTTTGGTTACACTTGTTCTGTTGCTGTCCTATTCATTTGCTGGCTTGAGTTAGTGGGTTAATTTTGAACTAAGACCATCATGTGTCTGCCATGCTAGACTGGCAAACTCTGCTTCTTAGGACAACAGAGGGAAGGAGGCACTTCCTAAAGTCAAGCTAGGTACAGGGATTTCACTTGGACATTGATCTTTCTGTCTCTTTCAGGAGTTATTCAGCGCTGCACTGCTGTGAAGTACCATTACACCTCATCCTCTCTGCCACGCAACTTACCCATCAATATTACCAACATCATCCGGCAGGACGAGTGGCATGCTCTCCGTAAGTAATCCAGACTCTTACCAATGCCATGCACCCTTACTGAGCAGAGTACAAGCATATTCAGAATCTTTCATATCTAGGTCACTGCCATGACTTCAGTACCAAATGGGGCACTGATGCAGAGATCAGTGAATGGTATCTAGAGCTAAAATGAACCTTAATTAGGGAGGCTGGAGACAAGCAAATTATGTTAATAGAAAGTGACACAAGTGTAGAGGACATTTGGAGTGGCTAGTGCAGGGGCCATATAAATTGGCAATAATGGTGTAGATCTGCTAGGGTGTGATGGAAGTGTCAGTGCAGTTTATTGAATACCCTCTCAGCGGCTAGGTGTTGGTCAGACTCAACGCTGAAGCACAGATTAGTCCTATTAGGTCAGGGTTATACACTTATTTGATTTGTACAGTGCCTGCCATGCTTTCTCTCTACATCCCAAATGGTGCATGACCTCTCCTCCCAGAAAGCATGCTAATTTTGACTTTTCCACAAGCTCATCCCTGCATCCTCCTGTTCATAGATTCATAGATACTAAGGTCAGAAGGGGCCATTATGATCATCTAGTCCGACCTCCTGCACAACGCAGGCCACAGAATCTCACCCACCGACTCTTGCAAAAAACCTCTCACCTATGTCTGAGCTATTGAAGTCCTCAAATTGTGGTTTAAAGACTTCAAGGAGCAGAGAATCCTCCAGCAAGTGACCCGTGCCCCATGCTACAGAGGAAGGCGAAAAACCTCCAGGGCCTCTTCCAATCTGCCCTTGAGGAAAATTCCTTCCTGACCCCAAATATGGCGATCAGCTAAACCCTGAGCATATGGGCAAGATTCACCAGCCAGATACTACAGAAAATTCTTTCCTGGGTAACTTGGATCCCATCCCAAACCCCTCGCACCTGCCTGGTCACCTGCAACCCACCTGAAAGTGCTCCACTCTCTCTCCTTCCTCACCTACTTCCCCTATTTGTCCTATCCAAGTTCACCTTGCCTTCTGGGGTTCCCTTCCTGGACTCCTGAGGATAAGAGCTACTAGGCAACCCAGCTTCCTCTGCTGATTTCTACCCTTTTTTACTTACCAGCACAAACTTAGGTGACTTTTTATGCAATTAATCCAACATGACTGAGATCATGCTGTAGCCTCACACATCTGCATGTTCATAGAGGTGCTGCACATGGATGCTGTCACAAAGAACTATGGTTAGAGAGACCTACAAGAAAATGCTATAGGGCTTGACAAGTCTGTAGGTGTTGGGCTCAGAACATCAGATTCCTACATTCTGGTCTAAATTTTGAAAAGTGGTTAGTGATTTTTGGTGTGCCCAAGTTGAGACGCATTAAAGGGGCCTGATTTTCAGCAAGTGCTGAGCATCAGTCCTATGAAAATAAAACCTTTTTAGAGTGATGCAAGTTGGGCTCCCAAACTCATTATCATTTTTTAAAAGGTAGCTCTCGGATCCAGCAAGATCAGAGACAAGTAGGTGTACTACAGTGAGGAAGAGAGGAGCTGAGCTCTAGATAGCATTACCCAGTGTCCCTGATGCCCCAGTACACAGGGTAAACCCCATCCATTTCCCCAGCCCCATTTGAGCTCAGGGAAAAGAGAAACTGCCAGGAGAAGCCAGCCAGAAACTGAGTTGACGGCAGCAGCAGAAAGAAGCAGGGTCCTCCACATGTTGAAGACACCAGTATCTGGATTTTTTTTTTTTTTTTTACAGCTTTTACTATGGACGGTCTCTCCCCTGTTTTGATTAGCTGTTTGCTCCAATACTCTTCCTCCTGTTCCCTCAGTCTCTTCACCTCAGCCTCACTACACCTGCCCTCCATACTTTTCCCCATTTCCTTTACCCCCTCCTTTCAGTGTCTCCTTTCTTTTGCTTTGTGTCTCTGTCTAGCTAATCATCTCCCAACAACAACAAATAACCCTAGTGTAACAAAGCAACAAAAAGTTGTGGTTTTAACAGGTTTGCAAACCATCAGAATGTTTACTATGCTGTTATGTTGTATCCCTTCTACCCATCACCCTCTGTCCACTTTGTCTCTTGCACTTCAGGACAGTGTGTAGTTCCCAGCACAAAGGGGCCCTGGTCACAGTGTGCCTAGACACTACTGTAATGCAAACAATTTCTTTCTAAGAGGGTGCAGTAAGGGAAGCTCCTCAGGGATACTAACTTTAGGGACAGTAGACCTAATAATCTCAATGGATTGTGTCTGTTCTCTCTCTCTCCGCTCCCCACAATCCTGTCTTGGTGTCTCCTTTGTTTCTTCCCCTCTTGCTCCTCTCTCTTCTCAGATCTGCGGAGAATGACAGCTGGTTTCATTGGCATGGCAGTCTCCATCATCCTGTTTGGCTGGATCATTGGTATGCTGGGCTGCTGTAAACAGCACGAGCTCATGCAATATGTGGCAGGGCTGCTCTTCCTCATGGGAGGTGAGAGTCTCTCTCTTCATTCTAATATCAAACTTTTGATAGAAAGCATTAGAGCCACATCCCAAGCAGATAGAAGTACAATCAGCCTCATCAGCAAACTGCACAAAGCCATTTATTAATGCAATAGTTGATGTAACAGAGGTTGAAATTTTAGACACACGTGGCAGGAGATGAGTCAGGGTTCTTCTTTGCACCTGTGTCAGTGTAGATCTCACTGTAGGCATGCATGCAAGATCAGAGTCTTTTGAGTAGCGGTGTCCATCAAGGCTGTGCATGTCCCCTGTGCCACCTCGTGCTCCTGCACGAGGGCATAAAGGGTGGGGCAGTAGTGACCCTCCCTCAGTTCCCTCTTGCTGCCCATGGAAGTGAGGCAGAATCTAGTGACTGCTTGACCCACTACACACTTCAGTCCATCTGGTGAAGAATTATGTCCCTATACTTTCTCTAAAGGACATTTTTTTTTTTAAATGGCAAATTGATATCTCTATGTACAGCAAGACAAGGGGCTTAGCGCCAAACACCACACCTCATGGCAGAGTCCACTCTGGGTTCGAACCCTACCTATCCTGCAATGGGCTGATCTCCCTCAGGGACGGATACAGACGAGGCCTCTTCTGTCTAGGAGAGCTACCTCCTGAATAAGTGCTTTTTATGCAAGTCCTTCTCTGCCACGACCCACAAGTCCAGGGAAGTGGGACTCAAGCTACATTTGCTTGAGCAGTCCATTTGGGTCACTCTAGTTGTAACAGTCACCTCTGGGTCCAGAGTGAGGATGGATAAGCCAGCATTGACCAGTGCTCATTAAAGGACTTAATGCTTTGGGATGGGGCAGTGGAAAGTAGAGAACGCTGGCAGAGTCGGCGCTGAACACTTCAGTGTCAAGTAAGACCTCAGCATGGGCACCTCAACTGCAACAGTCCTGGCATTGATTAAATCAGCATGAACAACTCCAGCTCCCATACCAACTGCCCTGACTCAGGCAGCACAGCCAGCCCATGCCCACTCATAAATAGCATACCAACTTGTGTAGTTGGTCTGAGCATCCGTGTAACTCTGACTGAGGGGAGATCCCGGATGGAAGACAAGGGAACACCACTTCAAGGACAAAACTCCTAATCAATCATGCAGAACAAGAGACCCGGTTGCAGTGATGCTCAGCTCTGTCATGAGTAAGAGGCTCAGGTATTCTCCGGAGATATCCTTGTCACTCCCAGAGATGTTCCCAATACTGAAGAGATGGCTGGTACCAGCCTTGTACCATTACTGAGCATCACCCTGGAATGAGGTGAGAGATTCCTCCTCCCCATCACTGATGTAATTCTTCTTGCCAGCGTCGAGCAGAAAGTCCTGTCTCCTGTCATCAGAGAATGACCCAAGGAGGCTATCTAGGAGCGCAACCAGCAGGGAGTTGTCAGTAAGACCAATATGGCATGCCATGAAGATATTGGCCACATTAGGGCTGGCTGGCCCAGTGTGGCCAATATCTGTATGGCATGCCATATTGGTCTTACTGACAACTGTCCTCCCACATGTCAAGGAGCAGATCACCTTCCTGCACTCCATGCTCTCTGGCAGCTTTTTTGGTGGGCCAACCACACTAGAACCAGACATGGGCCCAAAGAAAAGGAGACTAGAGGAAAGCCCCCAGCATCCTCCAATGGCAGACAAGGCGGTAACACTATCATTTGCCTCAGCAATAGAAGACTTTAATACCTTCCAGGACTTCCTGTCCTGAATGGTAGAGACCTTGGACATTGAGGTTAAGTTCATGTAAAGAGTCTCACAAGCTCTTTGATATTCTGAGTGCGATGACCCTCGTCAACATCACTCTCCCTATTAATGAAAGGATCCCAGAACTGGCGAAAGAGCTATTGCAGACCCTGGCCACTCTTCCTCCCACCTCCAGGAGTGTGGAGAAAAAGGTATCAGGTGCTGCCAAAAGGTTCTGAGCACTTCTGTGCTCACCCAAACCCAGGTTATTGGTCATCTGCAGTGTAAGAGAAATCAAAGCCTAAGAAGGGCACGCCTAAGAATAAAGACCCACAAAAGGCATCTTCATGAGGTGTTGCTTTGGGTGGTGAATTACCAAGTACAATTACTTCATGTGGGAAAGAATAGCAGGGATAACATGAAAGATCATCAAGAAGGAGCAGATGGTTCATGGGAACATTGCTGCAGGTAGCAATGGATGCCTCTGATACGACTGCAAGACTGATTGCTACAGCCCTCGCTACAAGACAGGTCTGCTGGCTCCAGGCACTGGGCATACCACAAGAAGTACAGGCCATGATAAAGGACCTGCCTTTCGAGGGAATGGCGCTCCTAAACTAGTGGACAGATGAAGTGCTCCACTTCCACAAGGATTCAAAGGCCTTGTTAAGGACCCTGGGATTTACACATCAGCCCCCTACAGAAACTCTTACAAATATGAACTCCACCAATGGCAGGGGAGGTTGTCTTACTTCTAGGGCCAACAGCTGGAATATCAGCCGCAGGGGATGCCCATCTTCCACCTCTTTGGCCAACCCAGCTTCCTCTGAGACAGCAGATTTGATGGGAGGGTTGAGAGACACAACGGTACTGATCTAAAGTCTATAACTCTTCAACTATTTTGCTCCATTCCAACAGGCCTGGGTGGTTGTCACAGGTAACAAAAGGCATTAGACAACATTGCCCAAGGCTACCCTGTACGGTTCTACTGACTACATTCTACCTTCCCCATCCGGTGACCTCTCTCATAAGAGCCTGTTAAAACAAAAATGACCTCAAAAATGACCTTGCTTCATCTGGGAACCATAACTGAGATACCCTAGGTATATGGATATTTCTTTATCCTGAAGAAGAGAAGGAGCAGTCCTATCCTAGGCCTGAGACAGATTCAGGATGGTAATATTTTTCTCCATCTCTGCAAGCAACGGACTGGTTCATGGCTCTCAACTTGCAGGATCTGTACTTCCATATCCCCATCCAGCTAGCACACAGGAAGTATCTAAGATTCACGGTGGGGTCAAACTATTACCAGTAGTAGGTGGTGCTGTTTGGACTCTCTGTGGCCTGAAAGTCTTCACAGAATGCCTAACAGTGGTAGCAGCACAGCTCAAAAGAAAAAGCATCCACATCTATCCTTACCTGGACAATTGGCTGATCAGTGGTGGATCTCAGCAGGAATCTGCAGCACAACTGAAGTTCATCATCCCTCTCCCTATTCTCTCATCTGGGACCCCTAGGTATGTCTGCATGGCCCACTCCTTTTGGTGTAGAGTACCGACCCTACATGCCCTGCTACCGCAGTGCAGTGCAGGCGGTGAGACACTGCTTAGGAAAGTAGAGTAAGGACACGCCTAAACCCTATTGGTACGTGCCCAAGCAGTGCCTCCCTTGTCTATAGTGCTGTTTTTAGCAGTGTAGTGTCCCGCTGCCTTCATGTTCCTGGAGTCTTTCCCCACCACAGCGAAAGGCTCGAGCAGTGAGAAAAGACTCTGTCAGGGGAGGAAATGCTGCAGCAGTTCCCCATTGTTGGAGCCTTTCCCTGCTGCAGGGAGCTGCCAAAGCCTTTCTGCCCCCAGCCAGAGCCTTCAACTGGCACGTGTAGCTACACACTGCAGTGTGGACATAGCCTGCTTTTCACGGCTGCGTGTAGCTGCACATAGCCTATACACTGCTGCTAGTGATGTGCAGTGTAGATGTATCCCTGGTGAACTATGAAAAACAGTCTCTCCTCCCATCACAGACGATAGAGTTCGTAGGAGCCCTGATTCCAGTTTGGCGAGAGCATCCCTTCCTGAAGAAAAGTTCATGCCCCAGCAATCACTGGTGCTCAACTGCAACTGTATGAATGGGTCTGGGGCTGCTAGGCCACACTGCTTGGCAGACTTCACCTGCGACTGTTCTACCTTTGTCTCAGGTAGCTGTATTCCCCAACAAAACACCAGATGAACAAGATGATGATGGTCTTACTGCAGGTTGTCACAGAACTGAGCTGCTGGAAGGAACCTGAAAAATGGGCTTGGAGGCGTTGCCATTCTGAAACCCCCCCACCCACACCCCCCTTACTATTTTAATCGCACACACATCAGGTACAGATTGGAAAGCCCACTGGAACATCTACAAATGCAAGGAACTCAGGCTAGCCCACATGGCCTTTCTATCTGTTCTTCAAAAACTCCACAGTGCAGCTCCTAATGGATAACACCTTGTGATGCACTACATAAACAGGTAAGGAGGCATCTGCTTGGCTCCTCGCTGCCTGGAAGTCATCAGGCTCTAGCCCTGGAGCCAACAGGGATAACCCTAATGGGTTTTCACCTCGTGGATTTCTTAAGCAGAGAATCAGTAATCACTTAGGAATAGTTGTTTCATAAATTCCAAGACTAGAAGGGGACCATTGTCATCATCTGGTCTGACCTCCTGTATAACACAGGAGATAGACCTCTCCCAAACTGATTCCAAGCATGTAGCTTTAATCTTCCTTTAAAATGGTCCATGATAGAGTGTGGTGGAAGTCCCTCATTGATCTGATATTCCTATGTTGCACCTTCACTAAAAACCACAAAATGTGAAAATTTGGTAGTTTAGGTCAATAACTAGGGTAAAGGGATTTGAAGCCATGTCAACCAAGGTTTTTGAGAAAAGATGGCCTGGAAAATGAGCTATTTTCCAGGATGCAAAAGTATTCAAACCTTTTTTTTCCCCTGTGAAGTGGCAAAAAAAGAAAGGCAGGAGACATGCAACATAGTTTACTAGCCTACCCTAGCTGAGAGATTGTGCACAGTGCAAAATTTAGTGGAATGAGATGAAGATTTGGCAAGCTCCAGCACGTTTAGCGCATTGCTAAATGTGGCAAAGGCAGAGCACTCTGCTTCCTTTACAAAAAAATAAATTCTAGTCTTTTACCTAGCAATGAGATCTTAACATAAAATCTGAACCCAAGAAGGCTGGTCAGTGGAGAGAATGAATGTTGGTTTGTAGCAAAAGGTTCATAAGAGGACATTTTACTTTGTACCTAAGTGAGGGAGAGCAGGGGAAGCTCAAAAGGGCCAGATCTAGGCTACAAGTACTTCCTGAGCTGGGAGGCAGGGAGACTGCCCTAGTTAGAGGAGTCTGGGTATCTGCTCTCCTCTAGTCCATTCAGGGAACCGAGAAGGCCACTGTTGGTAGTTGAGTCCAAAACAAACAGTCCCCCTGGAGGCTGAGCAGCACAAAGCGCTCCACTTCCAAAACAGCAACACAATGTTCTGGCTTCCCCGCATGAAGGTTGGCTGGCGTGAGAAGTGTCACTTTAACTCCTGGCTTTCCAACACTCTGCTTTAAATGACCTATCCAGGACATGCGTGGTGGATATAGCTACAACCTTAAATTTGTTGGTGCATAAATATTCAGCACAAATGTGTGCCAGGTGCTTTAATAGCAAAGGCTGCACCTTTACCAAGCCAAGAAAGGCTTCCCTTAAGCTCTCTCTGGAAATGGGTGAAAGAACAGCTGCAAGTTTACTATGGAGGCCTGCCTAGCTCTATTGAAAGTTTGGTGAGCTGAGAGGGTAAACAGCATGTTTGTAGAAATCTAGCTTCCCATTTCAGCTAAGGTCACTGACAGGAAATGAGTGAAGTTAGCAAACTACAGCAGAGAATGGGAGAAAATTAATCTGAAACAAACAGCTCCTGGACAGTGGGGCATAGTTGAGACACGAGTGTAGGAGTGAGCATTAAGACCATGTCTACACTAACTGCTGCTGCAATCAATGCAGTGGTGTTGATTTAGGGGGTCTGGTGAAGATCTGCTAAGTCAATAGCAGAGCACTCTCCCATCAACTGTGGTACTCCACCTCCTAGAGGAGTAAGGTAAGTCTGCAGGAGAACATCTCATGTAGACCCTGCAGTAAGTTGATCTTAGCTACATCAACTTGAGTTACGTTATTCACATTACTTGAGTTATGTAACTTAGGTTGACTTACCATAGTAGTGTAGACAAGACCTAAGTTAGGCAGGTAAGTGTAATGGTGGGAGGGGAAGCTGACCTGAGCAGCTGGAAAATGAAATGCAGTGTAGTGGAGTTGTAGGCTGTGTTTTGGGTGTTTTTAAATCATTTTCTGTATGATTTCACTGTAAAGAATAAAAGGTCATCAAGAGGCTGAGGCTTGGGGAGGGAGGAAGGAAGGAAACTATGGATACAGCTGCATTGCTTTGCAGGCCTGGTCAAAGGCCTACTATTCTTTTTGCTTTCCTCCTGCAGGTACATGCTGTATCATCTCACTCTGTACCTGTGTGGCTGGGATTAATTTTGAGTTGTCTCGCTATCCTCGCTATGTCTATGGGCTACCAGAGGATATCAGCCATGGCTACGGCTGGTCCATGTTCTGTGCCTGGGGAGGCCTAGGACTTACTCTTTTGGCTGGATTCCTCTGCACGCTGGCCCCCTCACTCAATGCCTCTCGTACTGCTGTACAGAAACCCCGACAGGAAAATGGAGCTGTGTGACCTTGAAGGGTGCAGGAGAAGAGACTCCAGCAAGCACAGCCTATGTAAAACTGGGTTAACAGCACCATGGACATTTCTGCCCCATTGCTGAGGGTGGTGCACACCTGTGGAACAAACTAGGGATGGTAAAGGTTTTTAGCCAAGTCCTGGGGTTCTCTTGCTACAAAATTTCTGTCAGACTCTGCAACAAGCTGGGGTTGACGTCTCAGTGATTTGCTCATTGATTTAAGAGGAGTTTCTTTTATATACAAGGGATTCTCTCCTGTTTAGTTGAAACACTAACTGCAGCTCTTTTGTTCTAGTCCAGTTGTGGAGGATTCTTGTCCATTATAAATGTATAGCTGCAGAGTTTGTGTAATGCTGACCACCCTTCCAGCTGGCTTGGCCTCCAGCAGTTTGGCTCAGCCCTCCATTTTCCAAAAGAGCCTGGAGATCTAAATAATGGGTCAGGCAAAGGGCAATTCATCCATCCTCAGTATTGATAGATCTGCTGCTGCTGGCCACTACTGAACTTGCTTGGAAAGACAGCAGGAGTTAAACAAACCAGCCTTCCCCTTCTTCAGGGACGGGGGGAGTTGGTCCACTGCTCTCTACATCAGGCCCTTCCTGCAGTTGAAGTCAGTCACTTCTTTGCCAGTTAATGCACATGACCCTAGGAGCTACAAGCAACATTCATTCACTGTGGAATTGTTCCACAAGGGGAGAGAGGTGCATTTCTGTGGCAGTGGTTTCAGCTCCTGGGATCAACCTCAAGGACCCAGCCTACCTGCAAGGAAAGAGCTCCCTGTGAAAAGAGTTGATAGCTTTTACTGTTGAGCTTAGAGGGAGACACTGCTCTATCTTCATGGTGGCAGCGTAACAGTAGTTTGTTGCAGTATTACCGGAAGATTTATTTTCCCCAGAAAGCTTGGCTTATGCTCCTTTCATACACTGGCCCTAGTTGTCCATGTGGGATATATCAGCTGTGCACAGTTCAGTTGATTCCATGTCCTGTAATCAGCACTAAGGCTAACTCAGGAACATGAGCCAAGCTACATGTAAAGTTTTCTTTCATACATACCTCCTGCTGCTCCCCCACGAGGTGCAGTGGGAGAGGGATGTGTTTCTCTACCACAACTGAGTGGTATGTAAGATAAGCAGTGCTAAAGTCATTATATTTATAAAGTGTCATTTTTAAATGGAGGCTGTGATTCTCAACTGGCATTAAAGTACTGAAAAACTTGAATGGCTTGATGAGTTATTTTGCAGAGCAGTAACTATTCACTCCACTTCAAGCTGTATACAATAGCCATATATTAACAGGTTGAGAAAGGGGTGCAACAGCCACCAAGAGGGAAGGATCCTGGGTGGAACTGGGAGCAAGAAGGTAAGAACAGTCTTTTGCAAAGGAGAGGTAAAGAGGCTTGTGGTATGGGACAAGTACATGACCCTAACAAAAGACTGCTAAAGCTAGTGTAGCATTAGACAGGCTCTGCTTAGCTGTTTGCCTCCACTGGCTGTAGCAGTGAAAGAATTGTATATGTGTTGAGGACCTTGTTGCCCAATGGTTTATTTGGATTAAATATATTGTCACTCCTACTCCACAGCAAGTGGCTCTAAAACATAAGCAATTACTCCCACCCTAAGATGTAAGACTTCAAAGCCAATTTCACATTCATGGAGGGGATTAATTATTTTCCCTTCAAGCTGTAGCATTATGAACCTTATCTAGCCAAGAATGTTTTTTTTTTAAAGGAGGAAAAAAAAGCTTTATTTTTTTTCCAGCACATAATATGACCAAACAGTCCAGTCTTAACCATCCTCTGTTTAGTCCAGTCCTCTCGAATTCCAGCCTGTCCAATTCTGCCAAGGCCACAATACCTGATTGCAGTGTAGAGATTAGGCATAGTATTGCAGATTAGCTTTTTTCTTGGCCTGAACCTCCAGGATTCCTTCCATGTAGTCCTCATGGGTGAGCTCTGTGGCTCCACGCCGAAGTGCGATCATCCCCTACCCCAATGAGAGAGAGCAGTTAAGGGACTGAGGACATGGGCTTGGCACCAGATCAACCTGTCGTAAATTACTCCATCCCACCCCAAGCTTGCCTCTTTTCACCTTCTTAACATCTACTGTGGAAGTCTGAGGGGGCAGGAAACAGGCTGTTAAGCGATACTCACCGCTTCCACACACACAGCCTTGCACTGTGCTCCATTGAAGTCATCTGTACAGCGAGCCAGCTCCTCGTAATTCACATCAGGGCTGCAACAGAGAAAAAACAAACCCATAAAACCCCACACTGCCATTCAACAGCAAGGTGTAGAGTGTCCTTAAATCACCCAGCATCAAGCTCTACACAGGGGAGGGAGCACCTCCAGCCCCAGGCTTAAGGAACAAAGATTTATGGTACACTTTCCATAATGGCCCTCCAGGAGCTGGGCTTCTCCTCTTTCATACCTGACGTTCATCTTGCGTGAATGGATCTGCATAATCCTAGCTCTGGCCTCCTCATTGGGCATCGGGAACTCAATCTTACGATCTAGGCGTCCAGACCGGAGCAGAGCAGGGTCCAGGATATCCACACGGTTGGTTGCAGCAATCACCTACAGAGAAGCAAGAATACCAGCCTAGCAGGATCCACCAGCTCTCTTGTGCCATGAGATCACCTTCCTCGGGAAGGGCTTGCAACCCCCCACTGGGGCTTGATAATACCAGGGCTGCCTCTTGAAGGGAGAGAGTTACCTTGACTTGTGTGTTGGGTTGGAATCCATCAAGTTGGTTCAGAAGCTCCAGCATGGTCCTCTGCACTTCCCGGTCGCCAGCCTTCTCGCTGTCAAATCTGGAGAAGGAATACAGGAAACCGAGTCAACTCTGCTCATGCCTGTAACTCCCCCAGGTGCCCTCATACCACCTAGAATACCCCAACACCAGCCTCCCTCCCTCTCTTTCATGTTTTGGTCTTCCAAAATGTACATGGGCATCATTTGGGTCTCACTGGGCCCAAACCATTTGCATTCAAGCCAGAAATTAATTAATTTGGTTAATATGGTCTATGCCAGCATGGTAGGTGTTAATAGCATTAGTAGGTGCCCGCTAACAGTGTTGGTAGTATTGATTTGCCCTGAGGTAGAACCACTGTTTACTGGTAATAAAAAGGAGCCTTATCCTTGTGGCTCTCGCTGCCCAGCCCCAATAGCTGTGCAACAGACTGAGCTGGCAGGAAGGATCAAATTATTCATAAAGGAAACAAATATGCTTTTGAAATGACCCCACCCATTAGATTGGGTTTACTGCACGCAGGTAGAGCCACATCCTAAAACTCCCCACCTACCCCATGATCCTGGGAGTTCACTCCAGTTCTTACAGCATGGCCTGCAGCTCTCACCTCTTGGTGCCAATGGCATCCAGCTCATCAATGAAGATGATAGAAGGAGCTTTCTCCTTGGCCAGTGCAAAGGCATCTCGCACCAGCTTGGCTCCATCTCCAATGAACATCTGTACCAACTGTGGGCCAGCCAGCTTCAGGAATGTTGCCTGGAGGGTAGAGAACAAGTCAGTTACACAGCTCCTTCGCCCACATTGCACCAACTCTCTGCTCCCTTCACAGCACAGATTGGAGCCTATCACGCCTTACCCTAGAGCAGGGGTTCCCAAACTGTGGCACGAGGCATTTCTGGGGAGCATGCGGGAAAAATTGCATAACGGTGGATTTTATTTTATTTATTGCATTTTCATAATAGGCTACTCAGCTGAAGCTTTAAAAAACTCTGTGGGAATTTGTTACCTAAAATACAGTAGTTAATTTACTTCCAGATGTACCAATGAGAACACAGATCCACAGAGATGCTGACATCTAGCCTCCTCACCTCCAATCACCGGACAGTGCAGGTTCAGTTGCCCAGCAACTGTCCAGACTAACTGAGCTCATAACTTGGTCAGGGTTTTTTCCTGATGGTATATGTCACACTATATCTGTACTTGAGAGTGAAATATGGACAGATGGCTAAAGACAGGTAATGTTAAGAAGAAAACACAAAGTATCAGTGAGAAGAAGGCTAGGAGTACATTGTCACCTGGTAGATCTGGAAGGGGGTACGCAATAAGAAAAGTTTGGGAACCTCTGCCCTAGGGGGATTCTGTTACTCAGATGACACCCTAGTGGGGCAGGTCTGTGCACTCAATCCCTCTTACCTTTGTCTGGGCAGCACATGCTCTAGCTAAGAGGGTCTTCCCTGTTCCAGGTGGCCCATACATGAGCACTCCTTTGGGGGGCTGGATACCCAGGTTTTCAAACTTCTCCTTATGATTCATTGGCAGGACAATGGCCTCCACCAGCTGCAAGAACAGAAAAACATTAAGAAAAGAAAACTTTTTCCATCAGAATCTCTACCTCTGCTGCTAATCCAGCCCTTAAGCTAAATCCCTAACCTCCCACACCGTGGATCTAGACTGCCTCAATTTCAAACTCAAATGCGGGGGGGGGGGGGAAATCTACCTGTAGGGATCATGTTATTCACAGACTGGACTCTAAGTACTTTTATGACCCCTATTACTCATAGTATCTGAGTGCCTCACAATCTTTAATGTATTTATCCTCACAACACGCCTATGAGGTAAGGAAGTGCTATTATCCTGACTATACATATGGGAATCAGAGACACAGAAAGACTAAGTGTCTTGTCCAAGGTCACACAGGAAGTCTGTGGAGGAGCAGAAAATTGAAAGTGGGATTCCCTGACTAACCACTAGACCATCCTTCCTCCGCTTGTCACCTCTTGGATCTGTTTATCCAGCCCACCGATGTCACTGTACTGCTCTGTGGGCCTCTCATCCACCTCCATGGCTTTCACTCGTGAATCATATTCAGTAGGTAGGGTCTCCAGGATCAAGTAAGAATCCTTGTTCACACCCTGCAAACACAAAGGCAATAACTTAGATTGAAGTTTTCGATAAAGGCCCTTTCAGGCAACAACTAAGGAAGATAGTTCACCTACAGATGACTCACCGGGTCAGGATATTATAGAGATAAATAGCTCATGCATCAGGACTCAATAAAAAAAAAAAAATTAATGATGCAGTTCTGCGACATGACAGGTTCTTAAGGCCTGGATGAGTTAAAAAGACTAGTAAGGCGTCTAGGCTTTAACATGACATGATAAAGGCAAGGGGTTTATCAAGGTATTCAGGTGCCTAAAAATGCACAGACACACCTAGTAGGATTTACAAAAACAACTAAACAGGTTATGTGCCTAAGTCCCATTGACTTAAATGGGAGTTAGGCATTTAACTGCATATTTAGGCACCTAAATGCCTTTGGAAATCTGGCCCAGTGTGCCTTGTCTACACTACTTTTCAAATGCATTAGTTAACACATGCTAATATCTCACCATTAAATCCTTGTCCAAACAAGGCCTTAGAAAAAATCTGCTTAGATCATTTCTTCATGAGAAAGTAATCCAGCCAAATACCAGATTCCCTGGCTAACACCATGTGATCAATATCCGACAGTTACATTGCAACCACTCACCACTAGGTCTCCAGGCTTTAGCTTCTCTGCATCAACTAACCCGATCACGGGCAGGAAATATGTCTGTGGGGAAGGAATCAATGTAAGCACAGCAACCAAACAGGGCTGGGCAAACTATGGCCTGTGGGCTGGATCCGGGCCCTCGGGACTTTGGATCCGGCCCTCAGGATTGCCACTTCTGTGGTGCCACGCTGCTCTGGGAAGCGGCCACACCATGTCCCTGCAGCCCCTGGGGGTGGAAGAGCAGAGAACTCCACACACTGCTCTTGCCTGTGGGTACCTCCCCCAAAGCTCCCATTGGCCAGGAACAGGTTACCGTGGCCAATGGGAGGTTCGGGGGAGGTACCCACAGGCAAGGGAAACTCCCAGAGCCCTCTGCGCCCCCTCGACTTCCCGGAGTGGAGCAGCGTGGCTGGGGATGGGGACAGCAGCCTGCCCTGGCCCCAGTGCGCGCCGCTGCCACCCTGGAGCTGCTCTAGGTAAGTGGCACCGGGCCGGAGGCTGAACCCCTCCTGCATCCTGCACCCCAACTCCCTCCCCTGAGCCCCCTGCCGCATCCCGCACCCCAAGTCCCTGCCCTGAGCCTCCTCATGCACCGCTCCTCTGCCCCAACCCCTTGCCCTGAGCCCCTTCCTACACACTGCACCCCCTCCCACACCCCAACCCCCTGCCCTGCAAGCAATTTCCCCACCCAGATGTGGCCCTCGGACCAAAAAGTTTGCCCACCCCTGCCCTACTATCACTCCCCACATCTACACAAGTTCAGGCTCTCACCTGGCGTGTGGAGGTTTTAATCACAGCACACTTGCCCTTCCTCTGGGAATCCAGATCAATATTTGCTCCATCCTCTTCCTGGTCATTGGGGTCAACATCAAGTAGCTGAAGACCAGAAGAAAAGATATCATTAGAAACAGAATCAGGCCCATCTAACCATCCCACTCCTGGATGACATCTCAAGGCGTCGGATATTGGGTTCCTAGCTCAAAATCACACAGAGCAGTGGAAACTAAACATCCCACTGTCTACCATCATCCACCAATGGTAGGATTATGCCTGCAGTTAAATCCCCTGGGAGAATTTAGAGCTTCCTGAGTAGCAGAGCTCCCTGTCATAGCAACAGGGCAACAACACAGGGGAAGGCACTGCAAAATCCTGGGGAACAGGAGTGGTGGCTGGTGGTGCTTAGCACCCTCCCCATTCCAGTATAACAAACCAATGGTAGTATCACATAAATTGGTTGAAACAATATTAAAGAATTATGAAACACTGAGAAAGACAGATAGCACAACTACTGGAAAAGAAAATTATGCCTCACTAATCTATTAGAATTCTTTAAGCATGTCAAAAAATTACAGATAAAGGAATACCAGAGGATATAATTTATTTGGACTCTCAAAAGGCTTTGACAAAGTCACTCACAACAGTCTACTAAGGAAACTAAGTAGTTGGAGTGCAGGTCAAAATACTGTTGTGAATGAGAAAATGGCTAAAGGGACAGAATTGTAGTCTGGAGGAGTCCAAAAATCAGAAGACAAAAACATGAATTTAATCTGTCTTCGGGCATCTGACTCAGTTTTTTAACTGCAAGGGGCTGAAGTAATGGAGAAAACAGAAGAGCAGGAATAAATGATCAGATTCTTCACAGCAAAAAGGTTAACAAGGAATCCACAAAGGTACCATACAAGGACCAGTTTTATTTAATATTGATCTGGAAAAGTAGGTGAGCAGAAAGGTGGCAAAATCCAAAGATAAAATTATAGAAGACTGCAAGGAACTTCAGAGAAACTTAAGGCTAGGTCAATGACATTCCCCTTAGTGTTCACAAAAAATTCACAAAAATTGTACTACCAACTATACACAGTTAAATGATAACCTCCCTAAAGTGGATGCAGTTATACCAGTATAAAAATACTTATATTATTATAGCTTATTTCCATAAGAGAAGGGGAATAAGGTATATCAGGATATGTCTAAACTAGGAACATAGCAGCATAGTACAGTTGCTACTCCTCAGGGCATTATACGCCAAAAATTTAAAAATTCAGCAAAATTTGTCAAATAAATGTGGAAGCTCCAGCATGACACTGAGGAGCATAGGCCATTGGCTTCACAGAGGTGGGAGATCACTGTGCAGCTCTCACCCCCAGCAGTGAGGCTGCACATAACCCTGACACAGTGCAAGGACCAGGCCTGCCACAGAAACACCCCAGGGCCCTGCCACTCTGTGGCAGTGCACCAGGTGTGGGCAGGCAGGCTCAGCAAGGCAGGATCCAAGTGTGGAGGAGCTGAGTGTGGGGGGATCCAGGTGTGGGTTGAGAGGGTTCTGTGCAGGGCAAAGTCGGTGCGGGATCTGGTTGGGGGGGGGGGGGGGGGGGGATCTGGATAAATAGGGGCTTGCTGTGGGGTTCTGGTTGCAATGGTAATGGGACTCTGCAGGGAGGTCCAGGTGAAGGTGGTTGGGGCTAAACTGGGGGGGGGGGGCTCAATGGGGAGTAGGGTTTGTTGGGGTGGTCCAGAGTGCGGGGGGCAGAGGGGGGATGAGGCTTGGTGGGAGGGTCTGGGTATGAAGGTCTGGATGCATGGGGGTTGGACAGATGGGGGGGCAGCTCCAGGTACAGGGATCCCTCCCGCTGCAGCTGAGTGCAGGAAGCAGGGGAGTGGGGGGAAGAAGAGGAGGTTAAGGTGTTTCCAGAGCTTCCTGCAGCTAGGGGAGAAATCTGGGGGTGGGTCTGACCTGGCCCCAGATGCCATTCAGGGGGAAAGGGAAGTCACGTCCTCCCCAGCCCAACCGGGACTAGCAGCTGAGTCCAGCACAAGGTAGGAGCCACCAGCTGGGTCTTCCCCAGACCCCACCCCCCCCGTCCCGTGCCCTGGGCACCCAAAACATACTGCTGGGGAGGAGCGCATGACTGCTCTTTTGGCTTCCCTTTGCTTCCCTGTCAGAAAGTCATTTTTCTGCGGGGAAGCAAACAAATCTGTGGGGATATAAATTCTGTGCATGCGCAGTGGCGCAGAATTCGCCCAGGAGTAAGCTGCGTCGCTGTAGTGCTTCAGCGTAGACAACTGCTGCAACAATAGAAGGAATTTGTCTGTTGCTGCAGTAAATCTACCTCCGAGAGGCAATAGGTAGGGTTGACTGAAGAATTCTTCCATTGACCTAGTGCGGTTTACACCATGGCTTAGGTTGGCTTAACGACATCTCTCGGGCTGAATTTTTCACACCCTTGAGGGATGTAGCTTGGTTAACCTAACTTCCTAGTGTAAGCCAGCCCTCAGTATAATCACTTTTATACTGAGGGAATTGCACCTGGTACCACAAACTATTTCAGTTGAAAAATTACACCCCTAATCAAAATAGTTAAATCAATACAAAAAGCGTGTGTAGACCAGGCCTCACACATCAGTATCTGCTAACTGTTTCCATTTTACAGATTGAGAAACAAAAGGAGGAAGTCACTGGTCCCAACTCACATGGATTCACTACATACAGTCCTCTGCTCCAGCCACTGACCCCCTGCCTCCAATTAGCGAAGGCACCTTTTAAAGTTAAAAGCTGTGCTCCCAATAGGGTATCACGCCTAACATTATTCCAAAAGGGCACAACACTCACCTCGATGACATTGGAAACGAGGTAAGGCAGGGTTTTGTTCACTTTGATCTTCTCACTGTTCTCTTTGATCTTATCTTTCATGGCCTGCAGCTCATGGGTAACTCTCAGCACCTCGCTCTTCATTATCTGAAATCAGCACAAGTTAGGAATGTGCTAACATTAGCAGAACAAAGCAACAAATACATACATGCATCACACAATCAGAAGATCAGAATGAATCCCAGGAGGCAGTTTGGAAGAAGGAGGGGAAAATGTTAGCCTAATCTGTTTTGCCCTAAGTAGTGTGACTTTAGGGATTGAGGTATACATCAGTGCCCCAAAAATCATTTCCTCCTGATGCCATCTGAAGAATTCTAAAACTATTCAGGAATTTGAATTCCTTCTCACGGGAGGAGGAGACTTTGTTTTGGAAGAATCGTTTTCAGATCTTAACTCTCATCAGTTGGCACATTCAAGCACCACACTTGTTCCTGCATTTAGGGATTAGAGAATTTGCAAATCACTTTTAAAACAGCTTCCGGATGCTGGAACAGGTTAATGTTGAGAAGCCTGGATCATCAGTCCTGCCTCTTGCACAAAACTCTTTGAAGGCAACTCAGAGATCTCAGTGAGCGCATAAAAATTGGAAAAAATGCTTAAAAATAAAGATTAATACAACTTTGGTTTGGATTGTAGCTAACAAAATAATCAAATTCTGCCTTGCTATCTATAGTGTGGTCTTATCTGCTCACTTTCTGCCCCCAGAGGAAGAGGCTCGTATCCCTGGAAAACACCATGATATCGACTAATCTCTCCGAGGGAGATTCTACTTCGATCTGAATTAACTGATTTCTATCCAATGGCAAACTCATGCTTCCCTCAAATTCACCGTCTTTCACCTCTCAGGGAAAGGAAGTTTCCTTTGACATTTCTACCATTCAGAGCACAACAGTGCTCGATATCAATGATAATTTTTAGGGCGATCAAGCAATTAAAAAGTTATTCGTAATTAATCATACGGTTAATAATAGAATACACTTACGTATTTTTGGATGTTTTCTACGTTTTTCAAATATACTGATTTCAATTACAGACTACAAAGCGTACAGTGCTCACTTTATATTTATTTTTGATTACAAGTATTTGTACTGTAAAAAAACAAATAGTATTTTTCAATTCACCTAATACAAATACTGTAATGCAATCTCTTTATCATGAAAATTGAACTTACAAATGTAGAATTATGTACAAAAAAACCTGAATCCAAAAATTAAACAATGTAAAATTTTAGAGCCCGCAAGTCCACTCAGTCCTACTTCTTGTTCAGCCAATCACTCAAACAAGTTTGTTTACATTTTCAGGAGGTAATGCTGCCCGCCTCTTGTTTACAATGTTACCTGAAAGTGAGAACAGGTGTTCTGATGGCACTGTTGTAGCCAGTGTCGCAAGATATTTACGTGCCAGATGTGCTAAAGGTTCATATGTCCCTTCACACTTCAACCACCATTTGAGTGGACATGCGTCCATACTGATGGCAGGTTCTGCTCAAAAACCATCCAAAGCAGTGTGGACCAAGACATGTTCATTTTCATTATCTCAGTCAGATGCCACCAGCAGAAGGTTGATTTTCTTTTTTGGCAGTTCAGGTTCTGTAGTTTCCACATCAGAGTGTTGCTCTTTTAAGACTTCTGAAAGCATGCTCCACACCTCGTCCCTCTCAGATTTTGGAAGGCACTTCAGAATTTTAAACCTTGGGTTGAGTGCTGTAGCTATCTTTAGAAATCTCACATTGGTACCTTCTTTGCATTTTGTCAAATCTGCAGTGAAAGTGTCCTTAAAACGAACATGTGCTGGGTCATCACCCGAGACTGCTATAACATGAAATATATGGCAGATTGCGGGTAAAACAGAGCAGGGACATACGATTCTCCCCCAAGGAGTTCAGTCACAAATTTAATTAACACATTTTTTTAATAAGCGTCATCAGCATGTCCTCTGGAATGGTGGCCGAAGCATGAAGGGGCATATGAACGTTTAGCATATCTGGCACGTAAATACCTAACAATGCTGCTACAAAGTGCCATGCAAATGCCTGTTCTCACTGTCCGCTGACATTATAAAGAAGAAGAGGGCAGCATTATCTCCTGTAAATACAAACAAACTTGTTTGTCTGAGTGATTGGCTGAACAAGAAGTAGGACTGAGTGGACTTGTAGGCTCTGAAGTTTTACATTGTTTTGTTTTTGAGTACAGTTATGTAACAAAAAAATCTACATTTGTAAATTGCACTTTCACAACGAAGAGATTGCACTACAGTACTTGTATGAGGTGAATTGAAAAATACTATTTCTTTTATCATTTTTACCATGCAAATATTTGTAATAAAAAGTACACAATTTGATTTCAAACACAAAATACAATATATGTGAAATGCAGAAAAACATCCAAAATATTTAAAAAGAATACCAACTGAAATTTAAACAGTGTGATTAAAATTATGATTAATTGTGATTAATTTTTTGAATTGTGATTTTTTTTGAGTTAACCGCATGAGTTAACTGCCATTAATTGACAGCCCTAATCATTTTCTAACACTGTAGGATTATGCTACAGTGAATCCACAGAAATTTGCTTATGACATGATACAAGCATAGGTGCTGGAACTAGAGGTGCTGCCGCACCGACTGGCTTGTAGGGGTTTCCATCATACACAGGGTTTAGTTTGGTTCAGTGGCTCTCAGCACCCTCACTATACGAATTGTTTCAGCACCCATGGAAACAAGCACCTGGAGACGTGATTTAGAGAAATATTAAAAGAAACAGAGTGGATAAATTTTTTTTTATTTTGTTATTTAAGTTATAGTAAGTTTTCTTTTTTTAAATAAACCTGTTTAAAATGAAATCTGAATTTAAACACAAAATGTGTGAAGACTTAAATTTATTATAATCTCTTTAAATATTTAAATAAAAATTAAATATGCTGACTCCACGAGCCTCTACCAAAAACTCTGCATTGAAAGGCTGGTTCTCTAGATATAGAAAGAATCAGAGGAAAAACATCTAACTTTTGAGATCAAAATTTATAAATATGGCACAGTAGGTCATATACTGTATTAAGATCCTGTGGGGGACCCAGGAACTGTATTACTGAGAACAAGAGAGTCGCACAGTCATCACAGGCATTGGAATCTGGTCTCTCACTCCAGGAGACACAGTCATGTATCCTTATCAGGATCATCACTTTGCCCACCTGAATGGTCTCAGACTCCTATTTTATAGCTTCTTCCTACCTGATTTCTGATTGCCTCAGTTCTCAAATTAGAAATATCTGACTCCACCCACCATGGAAACTTACTCTCCAGCTCATTGAAAGACACTGACTGATCTACCCAGTAAATAATAGCCCTTGCTTCTGGATGATTCTGGACACGTCAAGTAACTGTTTCCTTCAATATCTACTAGACAGATACAAACAGAAATCCATTAATTTCTCAACGGCCTCCATCTTTGTGGTTAAATAAAAAAAAATATATCAGTGTAAAAGGCATGTGAGTTATATGAGCAGAAGTCTTGGTCTGTTGCTAGTTCTTTTGTTTTTCAGAGGTAGGGGAGTTATGTAACAACGAAGGAGCAGCAGCATGTGCAACCAGAGAGGAGCAACCTGGTGTCAGAGCAAGAGGCTGTGGTAAGAAAAGACAACATTCTTCAGAGTAAAGGAGTACTTGTAGCACCTCAGAGACTAACAAATTATCGGATGCATTCGATGAAGTGAGCTGTAGCTCACGAAAGCTTATGCTCAAATAAATTGGTTAGTCTCTAAGGTGCCACAAGTACTCCTTTTCTTTTTGCAAATATAGACTAACACGGCTGCTACTCTGAAACCTGTCATTCTTCAGAGTGTGGCCTCTAGTGTTGATTTCAACACCTGAGAACTGGAGGAAAAAACTGCCATGGCTGCAGGTCATAAAAAAGACCCTATTTGGGAATGTTTTCAAGAAATTACTGTACCTCTGGGTAAAAAAGGAATATGTGCCAAGTGTAAACAGTGCAACAAAGAAATACAAGGCTGCTTGTCAGAGTGAAACATGAAAAATGCTCCTCAAAAGGCAGTGACTTTGAAGATGATGTGGACATGTCTGAACTATCTGTATCAACCTGTTAGTAATCTTATTTTTGCATAATTCTTACAGCTTGCCTACTGTGTCTTACTATGCTAATAAATGATAACAGACTATGATAATAAGTGTGTGTTTTGGGGGTATTGCTTATGATTGTCAAAATGTTTGTGTTTAAAATATAATTGGTATGTTAGTTTGTTGTGGGAGTATTTATCAATTACATTTTACTGTTATTGCTGGACTTCTGAAATGATTTTTTTTATTGCTCAATATAATAAAATATCCTAGCTGGAGATTTCCCATTTAGAAGTCATGTTTTATTAGGCATTTATGAGTTTTAACATTTAAAAATGTAGGTCCCCCCCAAAGCTGTTGGGTATGTTGCTAGGAGACAAGGGTTTAAATAGATTTAAATTATCCTTATGATTTTATAATAAAAATATCATTTTAACAGTGGTACAAACAGATGCAGGAGGAGGAATCTTTCATTTACAATCTCTTTTTTTTTAAAGCAGTACACTGAGTAATACTCAATGATTAAAAGTGACTTTTTTTTTTTAAAAACCACACACACCATTTTGATTCAGGAGCCAGCTTAGATGTATGGTGTTATGAACATCCAACATCTGCAATGTCTAATATTTCATAGCAAGAGATGTTAAGAGTAACAAGAAGGGTTTCTTCAGGTATGTTAGCAACAAGAAGAAAGTCAAGGAAAGTGTGGGCCCCTTACTGAATGAGGGAGGCAACCTAGTGACAGAGGATGTGGAAAAAGCCAATGTACTCAATGCTTTTTTTGCCTCTGTCTTCACGAATAAGGTCAGCTCCCAGACTACTGCACTGCGCAGCACAGCATGGGGAGGAAGTGACCAGCCCTCTGTGGAGAAAGAAGTGGTTCGGGACTATTTAGAAAAGCTGGACGAACACAAGTCCATGGGGCCAGATGCGCTGCATCCGAGAGTGCTAAAGGAGTTGGCAGATGAGATTGCAGAGTCATTGGCCACGATCTTTGAAAACTCATGGTGATCAG